CGTAATTGAAGCGCTGTAACAGATCTGCCACAGCAATTGACTTACAAGTATATACAAGTATACTTGTATGCTGTAAAGGAGCACAAACAGCTTGAACCACGCCAAAAATGCCCTTTTCGGTGGCAGTGTCGGTCTTGCCGCGAAACTCCGTTGACACAGAACACTGTATCGTTGTTCGGAAAATCTGTGTGGGGGAGTCACTGCGCTTTCCAATGCACTGGCTTCCAGTATGGACTAAGCTTTTATTTCGAGTGTCGTCAACCAGCAGAAACGCACTTGAATGTTAGTTTGCTGTCGAAGAGAGCGAGCATCGGGGCATGGCCAGCTCTGCTGGGCGATGAGCAACCGGAACCGAACAACGCAGCAGCAGGCCACCTTCGCCACGATTTTTTACAACGTCGGCATTCCCATCTACGCTGCTCCGCGATGGAGAATGGGCATCGCTGTGGTGTCCCTTCGTATTGCGTCAACAGAAACACACTCGACAAGTCACGCTATTTGCAATCAAACGACGGACGTTATGTGTGCCATGACAAAAATGAGCGCCTGAAGGACGTCAGCGTGCTGCGTACGCATTTGGACTCCCATGCATAAGTGCTGCACAAGGGCCCAGGTGCTAGTGAGGCGCTGCCTCGCCACGATGTTGTAACATTGATCCGGATAGGTACAAAGCCAGTAGCACAGCGGATAGGAAATTCAAAGGGGCACCAAAAGCAAGGCGATGTCTGTCCCAGGAAATTGGCAGGCAAAGATTGTCCCGATTTTGAAAAAGGCCCCCGCACCGGCGCTTCCAATCACACGCCTGCGTTTGGCAGCTGTGCCGTGTCCACACCAACGGCACATCCAAATTAAATCGCTCATGTCTGATGATTTTCACCCACCCCAATCATTCTCAGCCGAAACAAAATGCAAGAGGCCCACACTTGCTTCAATGTCCAACAGATATGGACTGAGCTGTGAGCATGCTGTGTCCGCACGTTGGCAATCCGGCTGGCATGGTGCCCAACGTGTCGGCCGATTGCCACCCCGCCATATTCTCGCCCACCACTCCACGCCTCGAAATTGCCCGCATTGTCAGCACCATCAAGATTGGCAATCCCGCGTCCAGCAAAACTCCCCCCACCCTAAGCTTCTGGGGCGGGCGGGCCGATTGCAACTGATGCCCTACGATGCAAGCTTGTGTGCTCTGGATGTTGTACGTGTACGGCGCAGTCCCGACTTGGTGGATCGCGATTTGGCTTTGTCCGCCTGCCAATCGCCAGCCGACGCTCCGCGAGACCCACTCGTGCCCGCCGGGTGTGCCCCCCCTGTGGCGATTTCCGGCATTCGGGGAACGAATTCGAATCGCAGGGGCGCGGCCACGAAACTGTTAAGCAAGCACCGCGGTGCTGCCCACCGGGATCATGACCCGCGGCCGCGCCAACGGCTGGCCTGGCGGGGTTGGGCCCCATCACGATTGGGCGCCCTTACGTGGAGCGATCGCCCTCATGGGGATACGGGGGAAGGAGAGTCGGCCTTTGAGTCCGTAACGAGTGATGTTCCCTGCACGGCAGCATCACATATATACTCTATGACAGATTACTATCCCTGTCTGGTTTGCCTCCAGCGTGGTGCGTCACATTCCCGTATTCTCGCCAGGAACTCCTTTCCCCGAAATCACCCCATCAAAGCCATCAACAAGCTTCGCATCTCGGCACCAACAAAGCCCTCATGCTGCCCGAATCGCTACCCGTTTGGATACGCCGAAGGCCGCCTTGCCGCGGGCATCGGCCGCTGGCCGCCTGCCGCCAAACCCTGCACATTCTCCGTCCTTCCGCTCAACCACACACACCTGCCAATTTTCCGCACACACCGCGTACTGTGCCCGCTCAGCCCGATCCCCCCACATAGGCCCCCCAGACAGCGACTGGGACGTCCCGTCAGGGACCCCCAACAGGCCGGCCCGGCCTCCGCACTCCGAGGGCCCTCGCTTCGGCGTCTCAGCGGCCACCCGTCCGCCGGCCACGGACCCAATTGCCGTCGTCCGCGAGCCGGCCGACGTCCATCGGGACCAAAAGGTGGGTTTCTCGCTCCCCGACGCAGCCGCGAGGCACGGTTGGAGAGCTGTTGGCCGCGAAGCCGCAGTCGTCGAGGCATCGGCGCTTGGGGCTCGCGCGAGCCCAGGCACGGGAGGGGCACGCCATCACTCCAAATGCCGCGTCCGCGTCGTTTCGCTGCTCACCGCGTGGGCGCAACCATCGTAGGACAGATACTCCGCAGGCGCGTCCAAACTGGGGTCCCGTCCCCACCGACGGGCCGCAATCGCCTCCGCGCTCCTTGTCCAAAAGGAGCTGGTGGATTCCCCATCTTCCCATCGGTCAATTCTTCGTTGACTGATTTGTCTCCGTCTGGTCACCGCGGCTCGACGCTGGCTGCCGCAATGCATCATGCTTTCGGGCGAATCGTTCACTGGAGTGGTTGACGTCCGCCGGACCCCGTCGGAAGAAACGCTAGTCATGTGTGGCAGCTTCTCCAATCCTCGCACCCACCTTCGGCGTTGGCAGGCCCCCCGCAGCCCGAGCCAATCAACTCCACCGGTCGGGATCGGCCTTCCGCCGCTGAGCATAGGTCCCCCTCTCCCTCTCCCGACCGGCAAGCCCAAGAAAAGGACTCCGCATCATCCTCTTCGCCAGACGCGCAAGGACAACGCCCGCATCCCACTGGTGCCCCAAATGGGGCTCGCCTCAGTTGCCCCCTCTCGGCTCAAGGCTCGAACGTTTGAAGCCGAGGCACGGGCGCCCAATGCAAAAAAGCATGCAGGCATAAGGCACGTGGCCTTTGCTCGAGCGCCCTTGCGTCTCCTCTCAGCGCCGCGTTGCACACCCACAATATTAAGGAAGCTAGAATCCATCGACAGCCGGATCCATCGTGCTCCCTGCAAAGGGCCGGTTCTGGGCACCGGATGGGCGGGGGCCTCAGACGGGGTCGATCGCGCCGCCGGACCTCAGGGCGAAGATGGACAGCCCGCTCCTGTCCAGCAGCCGCAGCGCCGTGTGCACCATCGTCAGCGTGATCATGAAGACGCCCACCGCGGCCAGCGCCACTGTGGCGAAGGACCGGCAGGCCTCGCCGCCGGAGTGGCCGCCGCGGCCGCCGGCGGGGCGGGGCGGATGCATGGCGGCTAGGGGATCGCTGCGTCGCGGCGGGGGTCTCGGTGGCCTGACGGAGGCATATGCTGCCGTCTCGGTGGCGTTGAGGCTTCCTTTGAGAGTGCTTGACCATGCTGTGGGTGCGTAGATGCCACGCGCAGTTTGCTGCTGCACGTCACACAGCGCTTACTGCTCGAACGCTTACTGTAGTCGGTAGACAATAATGTCCGTAGACATGTACACGCAGACGGAGGAAAATGGGGCAAAGAGATCCTACTGGGACTGGGTCACGGGTTCCGATATGGTCTCCAAGGCGGGTGGGAGAAAATCTGCAATGGATTCCGATAATCCCAAGAAGTGTCAGGGATGGGCCCGAAACAAGAGCATGCGTTGCACGAGCACCAACACCCGCAAGAAAGTGAGTAACTCCGAGCTCGGTTCTCCAATCCGAGAATTCTGTGGTGACTTGGTTTTCCGACGGGGCGGGGCCGTCTCAGTGTCCCCTGGGGATAGGGTCAGACTTCAGCCCACCTCACCCAAGATGGCAAAGTGGAGGTGGGAAATAATGCATTCCCAACGAAGTTTCAAACGAAGAAGTGGCGTCTTATCCCCTTTGCTGGCGAGCCGCAACGACCACGTCCATTTTCATCTCGTTCCTTGCCGCAGTGAGTCCACGACGACCGCTCACACCAAAGCAGTGCTCATAGGAAGTGCTGCAGACGTGCAGTCTGCACCTGCCACTGTGTGCTCCTCGCCAAGTCGTCTGCAAGCCTTGCATCTGACAGGTGATGTGAATACTCACAGACGTGGAGGATTTGGAACACGTTCTGCTGAAACGTTGTTTTCACTGTGAACAGAGCCTAGCATCGCATGACAGGGAATGCATTGATATGCCTGCACAAAAGCAACAACGGAAATTCTGCTGGATCAATCCTCTGGGCTTTAAATCGCCCTGTGCTTTCTCGTGAGGCAGCACCATACCCTAATCTCTTCTGCGAGTTTGAGGGCGCAGGATTCTCAAACATGAGGTAGTGTTTCGGAATAGACAAGAGGAGGTCGCCCTTTGCATGTGCTGCACATAGATGGAATTTGAGGAACAGAATGACTCAGGAACTAGCAGTCGCTTGGGTGGTAGGTGCCTGATATCATCTTCAGAATGCAAAGGGATTGTTCCATTCTTTGAACACAATTGCATTGAAAAGGAATTCGGTGGAGAAAGGCTAATAAAGCCAGAACCGTGAAAATTTACTTGAAAACGAAGTCGCAGTTGAGGGTTTCACAGTTGCATTCCACCGCAGCGTTTGGGCAAATCGCAGCAGGCAAACACACTGTGCATAGAATTGTGACTGCCACTGCTGTGCGCAGGATCAGTGCCCCTGCCAGCAATGGCAAATGTCACCACAAGACAACAACATCCCCAAGAAATTTCGTGCACTCCCGCAATATTCCCGTCCTTTCCATACCCTGAACGGTTGGGGCACGCATATTCACCAGCCTTCGACCTATATCCGTGCAGTCCCAGCAGCCCACCGCCCAAACGGCGCCGCCAAGCCGGCAACGACAAGGACGTCTCGACGGCGCGACGACCAAAACAGCACTGAAAACATCTAAGCGAGGGAGGCGACGAAACAATGTCTCCTTGTCACTGAAATGTGATGCATCACTTGCAATCAAAAAAAAAAAGAAAAACTGCCATCTTCGATGCCCCCGAGGCCCCAAGGACCCATCCGGCGCACGGGAAGGCAGTGGCCCCGAGGCCCCAAGGACCCATCCGGCGCACGGGAAGGCAGTGGCCCCGAGGCCCCAAGGACCCATCCTGCGCACGGGAAGGCACGCCCAACGATCGACCCCCAACCCCAAAAGGCCCGTAGCTCAGCTCCCCTCCCCCGCGGCCGCCTGCTCCGGGTACCTCTCCACCACCTGCTCCCACGACGTGGCCTCCCGCACCAGCCCCCCGATCACCTCCGGCACCTCATCCGACGGCAGGCGCACCTGCACCATGCTGTCCCGCTCCCGCAGCGTCACCGTGCCGTCCTGCAGCGTCGCGAAGTCGACCGTGACCGCGAAGGGCACGCCGATCTCGTCGGTGCGCGCGTAGCGCTTGCCCACGGTGGTGGAGCCCGTGTCGACGATGTTGGCGATGCGCGCGGCGGTGAGGGCGGCCGAGAGGGCGCGGGCGGCGTCGTTGAGCTCATCGCGCTGCATGAGGGAGAAGACGGTGGCCTTGACGGGTGCAACGAGGGGCTTGAAGCGGAACACGGTGCGCGCCTCATTGCCCTCGCCCTGCGGAGCGGGAGAGAGGGATTTCTCTAAAACCGGGATCCCCTTGATGCAAGGGTTGACCCAAAGTAAAGATGCGACCACCGTGTTTCAATTTTGAAGATTTGTCCGCCTTTTCTTAGAATCACAGGCAACCTCTGCTCCTGCCGAGCGGGAGGCGGACAAGGGAGTCGAAAACAAAAAGAACACAGACATCTGACATCAAGCACCGGGGTGGGGAACGGGACATCAGAAATGGAAGGAATTACACGTTGGAACACAGGAGAATGAGGAGGGGAATTCTAAGTTAAAGAAAGAATTGTGAGCAAATGGCTGTGTCTTTGCATGAATGGAAAAAGAACACACTGGGCAATTCAGGTGTTTCTCATGGACTCACACGATCAAGGGCAATATATAATAGAATCACCAAGGAAACTAAAAGGTGGGCAGAGAGACCCAGTCAAAAACATAGTGAAGTGTAAACGATGCCAGCAGTCGCTGATCAAATCGTCACACACAAGAGCGTACACGCTAATTATCACCAGAACAGGGGTGCTCCACTGTGTGTTGCCATTTCTTGGGATTTCAAATCGCATCTTGGAACACACACAAAGGCGTAAGTTTGCTAAACTGCTTGACTTGCGAAGACATGGAGGCGTCTGGGTGCTTTCACATACCTCTCGGGAGTAGAAAGCATGCTCCAGAAGGCAGTAGATAATCCTTCCGATGCCAAAGGAAGGCTCGATGACAGACGGGGTGAAGGTCCGGCCACTGACCTTCTTCATGGTCCTCTTGATCTCCACCATGGATGCTGTCAACTCATATTCACTGCCATCAGCTGTTATTGATGCAGTCTCACCAGCATCAAATTTAGCCTGTCCACAGCACAAGATGTGACAGTGAGGCGAAGTAAGGTGTCGGTGGCGCCATGATCAACTTTCTCCCGATTTCGCTTTGCATTTGGAGCTGAGAAAAGTATGCTCTGCTATATTTCAGTGTAGTATAGTGCAAAACATGTCAGGTAGACGACAATTCGGCTCAAAAATAGTGACCAGTCTACAAACAATGGAGATCGCTTGTACCAGGAGACAGGACTTGTTTTGGGTGTCAGGACAAGGTCCAAAATGCATGCAACCCATCAGCCATTCCCTTCCAGTCAGCAGTGCTCAACTCGCCTTGCCTTGGTTCATGACGGTGTGAGGTTACTACAATCCAGTGCTGACCACAACGAGTGAATGCACAACCAGTACTACTGATGATTCATTCATCAAATGCAGGAACACACGGATGAACAATAAAATATGAATGCATGGGTGAAGGCATGCTCAGATTATAATGACATCTGCATGCATATGCACACGCAGGAACATGGAACAAACACAGCCAAAAATTGAATGACCTGCTTGTGATGAATTCATGGATAAAAGGACACATGAAATTTTAACAACAAACAAATTTGCATGGACATGCACAAGCACAGCCAATAATTCACCTTCACAGCCATCGAGTCTTCTTCGCACATTGCAGCCAGCTGTTCCACGATCGCCTTCATGGCTGTCTTGAACTTCACACCCAGCTCCTTCCTGTTGGGCTTCACTTCCAGTACCTCCTCCATCCTTGGCTCAGAGAACTTCTCATGGGCCACAAGGTCAGTCTTGCTTTTGGCTGAGTGCGCACGCAAGTCAAAGGCGGAGCGGTCTGCCAGGCCCACGCACTCCACCCAGCCGTAGCTGCTGTGCAGCTCGCAGTCCCAGCAGTCTTCTGCATAGTGTGCCATCTGGGCAGCAAACGATCGAGGTACCATTCAGAAGATGGTGTATTTCTCGTTTGCACACAAGCCCAAGCACAAACGCACTTCCCCCTCCACCGTCCTTGAGTGCACACACACAAGGTTGACAGAACCTTTGCACACCGTCTCCGCGTTCATGCTAAACTAATGCGGGGCGCTCTTCCTGTACTTGGTGGCTTTTGTTGCATCATCCTATACAGTGTCAAAAAGTGTATCGTTTCACAATAACAGCTCAGATTTGGGTTACCCATAGCATCTTCAATCTTCATTCTGCCAAGAAGACAACCCTTACCTACCTCGTGCTCCAAGTGCTGTCTGAACCGCAACCTGCTCGTGTCGATGCCGATGTTCTGCATGAACAGGAACGTCCGAGCCATGAAATATGCCAGGGTCTCGTTGGCTATCATCTTCTGCGCCACGGCGTCGCCAAAGCTCATCTCTTTGGGCGCCTTCTCTTCCGATTTCTGCAGCTCCCGGGAGAACAGCGGAGCGGTGAGGTCCTTGATGTTGCTGAACTTGGGATGGTTTTTGTCGCTGGGATTAAGGAAGTGCTCGATCTCAGCCTGTGTGAATTCTCGTACCCGCAGGAGGCCCGCCCGAGGGGAGATCTCGTTCCGGAAGGACTGTCCTATTTGAGCTGCTGCAAATGGGAGCTTCCCACCATTGTAGTATAGGAGGTCCCTGCAAAGAGCGATCTGTCGAGTTCAGGCACTAATGGCTGGGCAATGAGCAAGCACTTTGGCTATGATTGCCATGCAAACTGTCAATTTGGATGGAAGGACAAAAGTCTGCAGCCCTAACGGAGTACGATCCGAAAGAAAAATGGGAGGACTGCATGCATAAAGCATACAATGGGACAGCCCACGATCAGTTGTGTTCTGACATTCGTTTAGACCCAAGGTGGACCTTGAATCCAGTGTGCTGACGTCTGCTCATCAATGATGTCCTGAAGCCCGACTCACACCACCCAGCCGTGTGTTGCGCTGTCATCAAGCAAGACCGACAAGAAACTGGTTGGGTGTTGCTGCAGCTGTCATTGCCACAATCACCATGTTTGTGTTGCTGACAGTTCTGGTGAATGGCAACACCAAACAAAATCCACAGAATGCAACAGCAAACACACATACCTGAAATTCACAAAAATGTTTTGCGCAGTCTCAGGCCTCAAGTACCCAACCATGTCCCCTTTTGGTCCGATGGATGTTTTGAACATCAAATTGAATGGGAACGGCGCTGAAATGTCATTCTTGGTATCGGGCGCCTTCACTCCGTATTTAGTCATGGTAGCCCCAAGGGCCTCACAGTCCAACTCCTCAACAGAAGCCAGGGTGTCAGCAACTTCCTTGCGCTCCTCTTCAGAGAGTGTCGACTTAGGGTCATCCAGCAACGCCTCCAGGGCGGCTTCTAGCAAGTGATCCGCGCGGTAACATTCACCTGGAGCAGGCAACACCAATTTGCAGATTGCTGAGAAAACCTGCAGACTATGGATTATTGAACTGCTTCCACATTGTGTATTTGGCCTGTTCTGGCGTGGGGATTGGTTTTTTTTGACCATTACTGTGAGGTCCTTTTAGGATGCTGGCAAATTGATGCTATCTGACTCTCTGAGTACAACAGAGGCAGCTGGCTTCCTGGCGTGACATTCCCCACAATGCCTGTGAGAATGCAGTCGTTCATTTTGGTCGCACATATGCCAGATGGTGCAACAATTCGGAAATCGGATGTAAAGCAAAAGTTGGAACATGTGAGATTAGGATTCCCCAAGGAACTGCGCTCAACTGCCATGATGCCTTGTCCATGGTTTTCCCACGCTGCCTGTTTGTTTGTAGATGACTTTACAGGATGATTGCTGTGAAACCTGAACAGATACCAACGACATCGCTGATCTCACAGTTATCTGAGCCTGTGAAGCTCTGGCAGGAGGGCCATCCCCTATATCAGAACATGGACAGCACCTGCTTGCTCAAATCCTTTGATTGCATTTGTCCCATAAACATGACAAATCACTGCCCTTGCACCTTAGAGGCGATGTGGGGCACCTGTTTGCTGCGATGTCAAATGAAACTGAACAAAAAAAAAGCAAGTGGAAACTGTCTGGAAACTGAACAAAATACTTCTTCTGGGACGATCCTTGGCTTCTGCAATATTTGCAACTTTTGGGGAGTTCGCAGGGAGCCTGCAGCTTCACTGACCTCACTTTCTTCTACAGCACTGATTTGGTGAGTGAGAAAGAAATTTTGCTCCACCTGTTTTCATGTCTGTGACCATGAAGTCTGTGAAACGCTCCACGTGGCCAGACGCCTGCAGCACCACCTCGGGCGTCACCGCTGGGCACTCCACCTCCAGCATGGCTTCCTCCAGGACGAAGTGCTCCCTCCAGAACCGCGTGATGTTCTGCTTGATGGCACAGCCCGGCGGACCAAAGTCGTACAGCCCCTTCACACCGCCGTAGATCTTGAAGGAGGGGATGAAGAACAGGCGGCGCTCCAGGACGGTGGTCTGCGGTTCAGCAGGACACAATGCCACTGATGGGCACCTTCCAATGGAGTTTACAGAAAGGATTCGTGTCACACATTGGGCAAGCCATCTTCCTGGGTGGGAACAGCGAAGTGGGAGATCTTGATGAGATGGAGGGGGAGGAAGGGGCTGGGGGGTGGGGGGGGGGTAGGACCCCTTCTTCCACACAAACAATTACTTGTAGGTCACAAAGACACAAAGATGGACGCCCTCTTGCAAAGGCTATCATCATGGGGACGTGACGGAAACGAGCTGTTGTCCTCCTGAGCAAGAACCGTGGGTTGAGATTGTTTCCGGTGCTGTAGAAGGTGATGGGGGGGTCCCAAAGCGCGGCAGGAGCGACAGGCACACATCATCAGGGCTGGCCGTCAATGCACTCAAGCCGGTAACTGGGAAACGCAGCAGAAGGACGTCGAGGGCGGCGATCTGAGAAAAACTTGGCGAAGCTGAGTGCATTTCCCTTAGTCTTTATGATTGCTGAATTGCTGCGCGTCCTGGTCTCAGCCGTCTGCTGCGCCCGATGATCAAAATATTCACATTCTGGGGAGTTGCGCATCCGCTGCCTCCCGTTACCACCTTGAGAGACGCAACGGGCCAAGCAATATGTAGGCGGGCCTTTCAACGTACTTTCCACCACAAAACAGCACCCAGGCGCACGACATGCAAGGTGGTGGGCACCCGGCCACACTGGATCGACACCCACCAAGGTCGCCCGGAACGCCTCTTTTTTCTTTTCGCTCGTGGCCATCGCGAATCCCCACTGCGGCAGCCGTGCAGCCGAAGGAATGGCCCAGTCGCCGCGACAAAAGGTCCCGGCAGCTTTCGCGGACAGCAGCCTCCACAGAGACGTCCTGCTGGCGGTTTCGCGACGCGCGGCCCGCGGGGAGCAGCCGCCCTGTAGCGGCCGCCTAAAGTACAGTGGCCTATTCCTTGCACGGTCCGCCTCGTCAGCACTCGGAGTTGTCGATGACAATACATGTACGCTGTGGTCCTTTTGCCGAAACTCCTTTTCTTCTTTCGAGGCATTTTAGTGGTACATGGGAAGGTAAACAGGCCACTGAAAAGATTAATTACGTCAGGAACTCTGCTGATTCAGCACTTCAGAAGTCATGTGTTGTAGCAGCAACAATGCAACACCGGACTACGATAGCAGTCTACCCCAGTAGTGTGCTCCAAGGTTACCTAGAGACCTGCGAAATAATGCAGTACAAGGTGTCTCCTATTGAACTCCACTGACAGTGTCATAACAGAGATCTTGCAGTCCTTGCCCTCCACTTTTCATCCCCAATTCAACCGGCACGTCATCCGTTGGTGTGTAGTTAAGAGCCCAGAACAGTAGCTTCAGATCCATCATAGGATGCCATTTAATGAAAGGCATATTCAGAATCAGTGAGAATTGATGGTGAGAAGATTCGGAATCTCTGGCATATATTTCGGGAGAGGGGCTATGGGAATCCTGCACCCCTTTTGCTCCCCCTTTGTTGAACCATTCAACCCTTGAATCCGTGGGGTTGGTTGGCATCGAGGAGGCCGATTGTGAGGGTCGGACCGACGTGTAACAAAATGTGGATTCGAAGAACGGATTTTGCTTGACAATAGCCACTCTGTCTCCAATCTTGCTGCTGTGAAGCCATTGCCGTTTTGTACGCCGCTCACCTGATCGCATTCAATGCAGTGAATGCTGTGAGTCATCACCATCATCCATCGTTTGCATTTGTCAGAAAATGACAAAACACAACCCGTGCACCTGATAGGCGATGATGAGCATGAAAACCAAGCAGATTGTTTGTTCCAAGTCGATTGTTCATGGTCCCATGTCCACACCCCATTATCCCATGAAATGCAGCGAACTGCCATGAGTCATACAATCCTCATCGGGGTCTGGAGCCATGCTTTCCCTCCAAAACATCATGCTTCACTGTCGATTCCATAGTGCTGCACAAATCGACGGCTGATTCAATCAATAGCAGTCGAGGCCATCACAGATTGCCTCGTCGATCGTTGACCCAGCTTGGGGGACAGCCAAATTTGCGAATTGGGCCTTGTGCATCGATCATGATGCGAATGGCAGGCATGCGTTACCATTGCATTCTGGTGGGGGCAACTTGCCGTCCGGTTGAGAGTTGGCAAAACGCCCATGGTAGCTCACGTCATTGCTATGGACGGAAACAACGTCCACATTGTTTCCTTCACGTGAGGGGTGCAGCCACTGGTCATTGCCCAATTACATTGAACTCTCTCCAACGCAACTCTCCATGCAAACAAACCCACAGACGTGTGGCTTTGTACAAATCGCCTCTCTATGTTTGCCAGTGAGTCGCTGCTGCGCTTCCCATTCCCAAAACTCGCAACAAAGCTATCCGACTGAAGCTTCTCTTGGCGAAGCAGCGATTGGAAGCAAAGGTACCGTGCCCTGTCTGCCTCAACAGACAGCCCACTACAGTCAACCCGCTGCAAAACTCGAGAACACCTAGGGTGGACATTGAGCTTGATATTGAGATTGCCACCCCCATCTCGCCTTCTCTGTGAATCGATAGTTAGAACTCGTGTCGTGAACTGGGCCGAGTCCGCCATCATCAGCACACTCAACAAACATGATGCTGCAATCCAATATCCCTTCTGCCCCATCGCTAATCACTATACGCGCTCCTGTTCCTGCATTCCCCATCCCAACCGCATAAACTCGGTCAGCACCACCACATTTAACGATCGCAGTGTTGCAGCCAGTACCCACTCCTCTCCTCCGTCAATCACTACCCACCCCCCACCCCCACCCCCACCCCCACCCCTTCACCACACACACACACCGTTGTTCGCATCTCACATCGCAAGTGCAACGGAAACAATACACCCCTCTTCTTCCAGTTCATTGGTTTTAAGACGCGGTCAACACAACCGACATTGTGCAGGACACCGGCTTGTGCTGCCGCGTTTGTCATTCAATCCAAATTGCAAACACATTACAGTGATCATCCACAACGATCCAAGCAGCCATAGATATGAAGACAAGCCTACAACGGCCATTCCGGCAATTCCTCGTTCAGCATCAGCACCAAGGGGTGCACAACGGCCGCAACTGATTTGCCACGGTCCAACGGCTGCACTCGTCGATGCCACCCCACAACTGCCTGCTGCGGCAAAAGTCTTGACGGCTAGTGTGGTGGCTATCGCTGCTCCAGTAGCATCCCCCTATCATCTCATGAAACGATCCTGCACAGTGGCGGATGCGTTGTTCCCCAACATCAACGTCCAAGCATTTTTCATTGCCATGTGGTGGCACTGGCAATCAAGACAGAGCTCTTCGATGTGGCATCTTCCTGCCATGACAGGAAGGATTCGAAAAGTTGTCCATCAGTAAGGATGACATCAAAGTACTGTTACTCTTGGCCAAGTACGTTGGAACCTGATAACTGAGCATACAGAGTTGTCCATCAGTCCGCAGGGCCGTTTTGGTATGCTCTCGATCGAAACGACTGCCAGCAGCACATCAGCTGCGCTGCATCGTTCTCGGGCACCCGTGTTGAAGGAGAGCCGCTGCTCAGGGAACATCTCTACCATCCATCCAGCAGCAGTGAAAGAATTCAACAGACATCCTGTCTGCCAGCCCGAGCAGGAAGCCTACAGTGCACCAATTCACGACGGGCCGTCTGGTTCCTGATTGTCTTCCTGTGACAGAAAAGACGAGTCAGGAGCAAGATGCAACAAAATCAACAGACCTGGGACCAGGCTGCACCAAGTGAACGCAGTGACTATACGACGGAGACCAATAATGGAGGGCAAGCACTGGAATGGCAGCGCCAGTGATGGATTCTGATGTTGAAAGAACACATTGCTCTGGCCACTGAGGTAAACGCTGAAAAAGCAATGGGTCAATGCCCATCTGAAGTAATTCCACGAAATATATGAAAAATCGGTGACGGTAGGTGCAAATTTCTCGATGCACTGATGGACTCGAAAAATACATGCAAGCACTGGTTACAGATTTGCATACACACCTGCTGGTCTCGCAGGCAACAAGGCTGCAAATACGCCAATTCAAAGTACCGTTACTTTTGGCCTAGTACGCTGCAACTTGATAACTGAGCGTACAATGCAGCACATTCTGGACAGTCCAGAGGACATATGTGCACACCTCATGAGCTGTGCCTACCGCTTCTATGCATTTCTGAATCTTGTCCACGATCCCCTTGCTCTTCCCGCTTCTTGCAAGACTCGACGCAGTTTCTCCAGCCTGCGTGTCCATTATAACCGCACCACTCGTGAATGTGAGCTGCCCTGACGCCGTCACATCGAATATCCAAGAAGGGTGCCCACAAGAACCGCCATGCCAACTATGCTGTGTCCACTCCGTGTTGTTCCGCTGGTCGAATCGCGACGATGGTCGCAGCAACTACATCAGTCAGGGATTAACCCCGTCTGGAAGGAATTGGCCACATTCACTACCATTTGCTTCGCAGTGTTCGGAGGATCTGACATGTATTATTGGGTCCCGTTGGATAAAGTGGGCGCTCACAGATTATGGAGTTGGCAGCCAATGTAAATTGTGTAGACAATCGCTCGTTGTGGAGATTGCACAACCACTGCCTCATCCGGTGTGTTTACCAGGATTTGCAGTTTCGTGGTGGCCATGTTCTCCTTGGATGCCCTTGCAGCTAAGCACTTCACAGCATCATACCATACCCCATAGCAGGACATGGTCATTGTGCATGCATGAACCGATTCAAAAGCAACAAGCCAATCCTGCAACAGCTCTGCAACTGAAGATTGGCACAAACTCTTGGTCACAGCATTCTCATGCTGCCCACCATGTCCAGCACCACATGAACTGTGCAAGACATGTCCGCACCTCGTCAGCGATGTGCACTTTTGCATGGCGCTTCAACAGGGTTTCCACCGCACCCTCTCGAGCACTGGCTACTGCGTGCATCAAAGCAGTGCGGCCATCCTGCACAACAATCAATGGCATCTGATATGCACTAAAGTGCCACGTTTGACTTCAAGTTTGAGCAAAATACACTGAGCACTGTCCCGCCACATGTCTAGAAATGTAGCAAACAACTCTTCAGATATCTGAAGAGCGCAGAAAATTGGATCTGTCCTTTAGGAGCTGCACTCCAAATGACAGTCAGGAACTCCCCCAGGACCAGAGAGCACCCAAACAACCACTGCATTTGTTAAACTGCATTCCATGCACAAATGGTGTGAGCAGATTTCGTAATGATGCAGAGTTTTAACGATACGGAACTTAATTCAAGCAGCTCAGCCCACCATTGGTTCATGCAACGCTGGCAGAAAAGAAGAGGTAACGGACAGGGCAAGGGGTGTTGTGCTAACCTCTGACACTGCATCAATGGTAGCTCCCATGTCCAGCAGCGCCTCCATCACGGCCTCATGACCTTTGACTGCCGCCAACATTAATGCAGTGCGGCCATCCTGTTTAGCAATCAAAGACATTTCAGGGTTAATTATAGCCTCGAACTACAGCTTTCAGTGGGGAATAGGATAGGTTGCTGCAAGCTGTGTCAGGTATCAACCAACAAGTAAACAGAAAATCCAAGCAGAAAGTCGAATGAATCTGCTGTCCAAGGAAGTGCCCTGATTCCCCTCGAGGACTCCCAAGAGTGGGGGGGACCCACAAATCAATGTCTGTCACCGCAGTCAAGCGCATGGACAAATCAGACCAGAGAAAATGCTGTTGTGCAGCACCTGATGAGCGTAGACCTCAGAATACTACTCATGCAGCACTGACAGGAAAGAAGAGATGCTGCAGAGGAAGGTTGGCAGCACTCACCTTGGACACTGCATCGATGTTGGCTCCCATGCGCGACAGCGCCTCGACTATGGACTCATGGCCATTGGACGCTGCCAGAATCAATGCAGTACGGCCATCCTGCACAGCGAACCCACACTGCTTATGGAACTGAAGTAATTTGCATTGTCTACATCATGAAAATGTGGGCAACTGCTTCCCTGCCACCTGCAAGGCAATGAAGCAACCAGTGACAAAAGAAATGCATAAGCAAGACAAAAAAGACAGCATTGAAAAAAGCTTTCCAACCATGGAAACGACAGTTCGATGGAGGACAATGAGCTAAGATAGCTGGAATAAAGGACACACATGTGAAATCGATTAGACTGCAGTTGGGTTGAACGTCCCAAGGTGCATTTGTTCAAATGCATTCACTGTAACGAAGGACAGTGTCATCTGCACCGCCATGCCCCGTTCAGTTTTAGCTAAAACAGCTTTGCGCCCCTCCTGCTCGAGCTGTCTCAAATACAATAGCCTGGTATTGGCAACCATTGTGAGGTAATACTTGGTGTGCATCCACACTTGCAGCTATTTGATTCCATTGGTCGACCACAACAATTCCTTTGCCACAACGTGCCGATGAAGGACATTCATGGCGCCCTCGTACAGCTTCATTTTGTAAGGCATGCACAAGCTCCTGCACGAAAGCTGGGATGGATCCAGTGTGCAGCAGCACATCTCATGAAGAGCTGCGAGAAACTCATGGTTGCGGACAGATTGAGACGAAGTGCTACACAGGGCTAGACCTCCAAGCCTTCTGTCCAACAAGAACCACTATAACAGCGCTGTTGTTGTCCAGGAGCTTCAGACCCCTGACCTTCGCGATCAATCATTCTTGAGGTCACACTTCGCTTCACACAACTGTGCAAAATTGCCCAAGTCACGCACTTCCTTTCTTAGGGAAGGGTTGGCATCTGATCTCTTAAACACAGCGTGAAAGTCACAAAGCACAACAATGGAAATAGTAAAGACACAAGTCAGTAGCAGTGTCTCCATGGTCAGTGACCGCCCTACGTTGTCAGCAGCATGGACAGATGCATCATGGGTTTTCAAGAGATGTACAGTATCTTCGTGGCCATTGTGGGCTGCCCACATCAAGGGGCTTCTGCCGGACTGTGCAACATATCACACACATCCAGGTCAACATTTTCACAACATGACCACCACAATCTTCACAACGCCCACTGTGACCAAGATGTGTTCATAAATCCCACAAGCTTCACAAGACCCATAGTAACCAAAACGAGTTCATTCGTCTGGTATACCATCAGTAGGCCCAGGTGTCCATCGACCGCATATTAGTGTCCAATCCAGTAGAAGTTCTGCACTTTGCCATTGTCTATATAGAAAAGAAGTGCAGTAGGGATTTTCGAGCCACTACACATATGGTTGCACATTGCTACCACAAGACATCCTATTTACTAAGGATTTGTGCATGCACCGTAATGTACTAGAACAGGCAGGTGAATACATTGAATCAATTTGTTGGCTGAGCATCTATGTGGGCACATTGACAGCACTTGATACACACAAGCTGTGCCAACTTGCACCAGCTGTGACCGTGCTCAATGTGCACCTGGCAAAGCAAGATTGGGAACGATGCATTCTTACATTTGATGCTTTCTCCACGGATGCCCCTTCTGCAAGCAGCAGCTTCACAACTTCGTCGTGGCCATTCCGGGCGGCCCAACTCAGGGGCGTCCAACCCTTCTGTACACACACTCAAACACTGAGCCCACAGCAGTTAGCATGCAGATGCAAAACGACTGAAGCAAAAACAATATCCCTGTTTGGAATTGCTTGCCATCGACCAGAAAAGAACCCCTGGATGCTAATGGATCATCGTCTTGAACATGGTCCGTATGTTTTGTCGCCTGATGGCCAGCACCGAGTTAAGACTGATTTGCTGATCAATTAGTGATGACACTACTCCCTTTGTAAGGGCGTCCCCACAGCCTGGGAAACAGCCACAAACAGGCCCCATCCAACATCAACTTCACAAGCAGTTTGCCATTTTGTGTTACACATGCACCATTTCTGCCAGGAACACAGTGTTCACACCTTTGATGCACGTTCGTTGGTTTACCAGATGCATAGTTTCCATTTCCATTCTCGCCAGTAATGGCTGTGTGGACCTGAAACTGGGAAAGTTGCATAACACTATTGCATAGATGAAGTTTTGTGGGTCAGGACAGATTATGAACTGTAGCCCTGGGCCTTCAGGCCGTGGAGCTGCCTGTTTGTTTTCTCTTTATGGACAGCCCTTCTCTGGCCTGAGAAGATGACGGACTCATCTGCTTCTCATGACCTTGATTGCTATACAGTAAGGGTCCCTATATACCGCTCCCCCAATAGTGCCCCCGGCCCCCAATAGCGCCCCCTTTTTTGGCTTGTCACCATTTATGTAGTACTTTATGCAGCTTTGTTGCATAGTGAGACCTCAAACTAGTACAAGGTTCCGGTTTAGCGACCCCTATTTAGCAACCTGTCTAAGTTTAGCGACCCCGTAGTGCTTCGTTTCACTGCGACAGGCCCCAGCGCCCGCAACTTCGGCGCCGCGATAGTCGCTGGCCCCAAAAGCCGGTATGGACCCAGTAGGCTGGGTGTAGCGTACCCCACACACAGGCAGTCAAGGTACCCCGTACACTGGCAGCTAGGGTACCCCCTACCGGCGGCCAGGGTACACCCTATACAGGCAGCCAGGGTACCCCCTACATTGGCTGCTATGATACCCCCTACAATGGCGGCCTTGATACCCCCTGCACTGGCGGCCAGGGTACCCTTTGCACCGGTTGCTTTGGGTATCCCCTTGACACAGTAGCGCCCCCGGCCCCCAATAGCGCCCCCCTTTTGGCCATGTCGTATATAGGGACTCCTACTGTATTTCAGTGACAGTAACCATTTTGATGTTGCCAACAAGTCTGCCACATTGTTTACAATGGCCTCAATACTCAGAGCAGTCCAAATATACTGAACATACATGGTTTGCAACAACTCCAGCACATGTGGAGAGTCTAGCAGACGTTCATCGAGTTGGGAATAATCCAGAACTTCAAAGAAACAGCAATGCCTGAAAACAGAAATGGCTGTGATGGTTACAGGTGGCAACCTTGTAGACCTGCTGTTGTGCTGTGATCTTACAGTAGCATTTTCATGAATGCAGTATTCTGCATATATCTGACAAGAGGGAACTATCCGAAGGAGGCTGTGTTGTGTGACTTACTTTCGTATCCGTCTGGTCCACCTTCGCTCCTCGTTTCAAAAGCACCTTTGCAGCATCGACATGTCCTTCCATTGCCGCCCGAATGAGAGGTGTACATTCCAACTGCTCCACCCACAACAACAAGTCAGCATCCAATCCATTTTGCACCCTAATATATCAATGCTATGTGGAGCTGCAATCGCACAGCATAACGTGATCGAGCCCTGTGTGATCACATTTTGCGCATCAACCCCCAAACAGGATGTGGTGGGCTGGCACCGCCACACCTAGGGTGATGTGTACTTACATTTGTCCTTGCGTGTGCTGATGTGGTCTTAACATTACTAGTGCGATCACAGGTTAGAGTATTCTCAAATATTTTCTACCTGCATTCGCATGACATGTGTGGTCACAGAGGCAACAGGGATCCCATCAGTACAGTGACCATGCGATACACCACACACATGCTCCATGCACGTCAGCCAACTTGCAGCACAGTGGCAACAAGAATTCACACAGTATCTTACAGGACAAGCAATCCACACAACCATACACCAATCCACCTGCACATCCAGTCGAGTCAATGACAGCCTACAGGGTTATGTACCAGAAATGAAACTGTTGCTATCTTGGCCTTTGCATTGAGAGCCCGCTTCTGTGAGGTCATGAATACCCAAGCCACTGTGGGTGATGCTCTGTGCCTTGTCTTGGCTGTCTTGCATGCAGTTTGAACAACAAACTGTATGTCCTTTGCGCTTCACCAGTGACTAGAACATGTAGTACCCAAGAAACTTCACAACATAAGAATTCAGTCACATTTGATTCAGCGTGTGAGCATTCCCACTGGAATGGTTATCAGGCCTTCCATCACTCCAAATTGCCATAAGGCAGTTAAGAGCACATACAGCTCTTGTAACTGCAGGGCCTGAATGTTCATATTCAAAATGTATTTAAAGATTGTGCAAGAGGGTACAATACGCACTAACTGTGCATCAACGTGAACAATATATATGCTAAAACTGGACACAACACACTGGGAAAACATGCTCGTCAATATAAGCAAAGCAGTAAGGCCCACGTGCTCTCACATATTTGTTCACAGGAACGGACTCATGAACGGAGGCATCAGCATCGATGAGTATGTTCAAAATGTCCGCATGACCTTGGGCTGCTGCCGCAATAATGGGAGTCCTGCCACTCTGCATACCACAGACATTCTAGCACAAGATCAACATCAAAACAGTATCGCGATGTGTTTCATTACAGTGCAGCAGATATTGCACTATTCACCAACAACATACGATACAACGCACAGTGCAACCAGCACGTGAACAACACATCCTGTCCATGTCATCTAACCATTGATGGGCCCGCTGGATGTCTCTGTGCCTGCCTATGTGCCATGAATAAACAGGCAAGCCACTTCAACCGATTGAAGGACACATCAAAGACCTATTGACAGAGTCGATAGCAGTGTTGGTTGAAACACCAACATTCCATCACACTATGACAACACAGAACAAATGCATTGAATTGATATCGGAGAAGTGTGGTTGATGTTCCGCAAAAGCCTTGTTGACTTTGCTTTGAAAAGTGAATATCAGCAGGAAATTGTAGCCTTGTGCGATTCTGTGGACATGTTTTGGATTTGTGTGTAACAGCATTTTGACTGCCTCCCCCAGTGCCCAGGAAACCACTGGAGCAAAAAGACATTACAACAAATCTGCAGGCATGGCTAAACCACATCAAAAGAATATAGTTCTGTTGTTGACAGTCCAGTGCACCACCATTTCCAATACAATCAGTGCAGTACTGCAAAAAGCAGCTAAACAAATTCACTTTTATACTGCAGTAGTACAGCATGGGTGAAAAGTGAGACCAGCACTTTCAATGAAGACAAGGTGAATTGCCCCTGTTTCAGCAAAGGCTACAAAGAATGATGCACAATTTCAGCAAGGATTAACAGTGCGTGGGAACAATCTTGAGGTCAATTCGTGAAAAAGTACAAAACAGTGCAGCCAACCCAGTAATGTCCACACATCAAATATGAGTAGGCGTTGACACATTCTTACCTTCCTGGGACAGTCAACAGCAGCCTTCCTATGCAACAACAGTTCCACAATGCGCTTGTGGCCATGCTCCACTGCAATGATCAGAGGAGTGCTGTTGCTTTGAGGAAGTGCAGCCGCTTTGATGTACCCACTCAGGCCACAAATCGATACCTCGCAGGCTGTCCACCAGCGATCTGATGGCCTGAGTCTGCGTGACGACTGCACCAACAAAACACGGCACTTGAATCAGTGAATGGTGCACACCCTCTGTGATGGCGTCCGTCAATGCGGGCAAATGGCAATCAGATAAATACAAGGCAGAGGAAGAATGTTTCACCGCTATGTTTGGGTGTTGTACCATCGAGCGTTGCCAAGCAAGTTCCCAACTTCAGCTTCACCCAGCCACCAGCATATCTGATCAAGCAAGTCCTTTGTTGAAGCAATATTGTCGCAAAAGGGTTTGGCAATGGATGACTGAGTTACCAGGCTTGGCAGCGTTGGCACAGTTCAAAAACGCATATTATCCCAACTAAACCTGGTAAACCCAAACGAACTTGAATAAAAACGCACCTTGTCATCCGCATGGTCATCCATGTTCACGTCAGCACCGTTGTCCAGCAGAAGCTCCACAATGCTCTCATGCCCATGTCTTGCTGCTGCTATCAGGGGGGTGTTGCCATACTGCAAGTCAACATGCATATGGCAAAACAGTTCACTTCCCTTGCGTCACAACACCTCATCCACAGCCACTGCCCTTGCACCTCCAAGGAGGAAGGGGAGGATGATCACTTAGGCATCTGCACTGACTGTTCTCAGGTCGTGAACCAAGGATTTTCGTAGGCTTGCTACTTCAATTGCAGACAACTGCCCAAATTGGCACAGATGCGGTATCTCAGGGCAGCAACACATTCCTGAGGACAAAAGCATAGTTCACCATGGCCCAGATGCACCCTCGCTTGGAACTGAGCAGATTCATGCTGCAGAAGCAGCAAACGCAGCACAGACAAGGAAACACTCACTTCTGTTGCATTCCACTGCCTTTGCCAAGCAAATGCCTTATCCTGGAGAAAAGCAAGACAGCTAGAGCCATATTCAATGGGTTGAGCATGCTCCCCATGGCTATTCTCAGCATCTTGCCCACTGGCAGCTCAACCTGCCAAGTTTTTTCACAAGACACAATAAACTAGAGGATTTACAATGAAAAAGGAACAAAATGCCATCACTTGGACAGCACAGCCATGCACAGGAACTGCACCATGCAAACGCACTGCGTCTTTTATATTGACATCCGTCCTCTTCAAGTGCAATTTAACCATCTTGTTCAATCCATGCCAAGCTCCCCAGTGCAGAGGCGTGCTGCCTATCTGCATGCACACATCCCACAGCCCAGGTCAACAGCAGGTGCTGATAATCCACGAATCTAAAACAAAACACATCTTACAATTCCTTACACTGATCCCAAACGCGCCAAGCACATAGTTAGACAGCTCAGTCTAAATTATTGCTCTGTACCAATTGTTCCAAGGCAGTGCAGCAACTACGTTTACATGTTGTGAGTACGCTAGTCTGCAACCAATACTTGATACCTCTTGAGTACCTCTCTGCCAAATTCACAATTCATACACCATTCATCCCCCACATGGCATTCATATGGCCGCAAGCCTATTGAGAATTATCTTCTTCACAATTGCTGAAAACCTGGCCATCCCTTTTGACTGTGCCAGACAATTGAATATTCGCATTAAGCAGCAGAGGCTCAACACACGCACATACAAACGCTGTGCTTGTGTTCCCAATGATGCACCTACAGTGGTGAGAGCCCACCTGGCTTGTATTGAACTTGCACTCTCTTGTAGGCACATGCTCCAACCAAATCTCCTTTTTGAGGATGCCCTGAACAATAGCCTCAGGCAGTTTCCATTTCTCAGGAAGATACAAGTCACTTGTGTTGGCACCACCTCGATAATCAATTGGCAGTAACTCGGTCGTCACCAGCTGTCTCCCATGAGGCTCATCACAGGTCTCCATTGGAAGACCCAGCATATAAAGCACCTTCAGCTTCTCCACAAACTTTGGGAAAGTCATCTTGAAATTGCCCTGGAGCCGCAAGAAGCTCAATTTCGGACACCACTCTGTTTTGCCAGGCAGGCACTTCAGCTTAGAGCAGTGCTGCACGTCCAACACCTTAAGCTGACGCAACTGTGTGAACGAGGCAGGCAAACCCACAAGGCTGGAGCAACCGTGCAGAAGAAGCGTACTGAGCTGCGTCAGTTTGCCGATGGATGAAGGTAGTGAAGCCAACCGCCAGCAGCCTCCCAAATTCAAGCACACCAGGGATGCCATTTCTCCAAAATTTCCGGGAAGCTCAACCAGACCAAAGCATCTGCTCAGATCCAGAACTGTGACGTTTTTGAAGGCCGGTTGCTCTGCCATCCACAGGTCCGCTATTCCACAGAAAGGCATCAACAACTTTGATAACTTCTGTAAGCTTCCCACTGATTCTGGCAGTTCACAGATGCTCCGGCACCCCCTCAAGGACAGCACCCTCAGCTTCATCATTTTGCCTACTTCATCGGGCAGGCATTCCAGCTTCTTGCAATGATCCACTCGCAGAAGCTGCAGCACTTGCAGACAAGAGATTTCGGGTGGCAGGTTCACGATCCCAGATGCCGTGAGGTCAAGAACTTGCAGCTTAGGGCCAATCAGGAAGGCAGGAAGCTCCCCAACTTTGGGATTCCTCAGCAGCACCATCTCCAGCTTTGGCATCTTCACAGTCTCCAAACATTGCATCTGTTCATCGGTAAACCCCTGATCCGCAGAGAAGCGCGTGGCTGCAAATTCTTGTCCACAGCAGTCGCTGCACTTCAACTGTGACAGCACCAGCCTGTCACGAACAGCAACCTTGCGTTCTCGCAGCAAGGCAAGCGCACTGTCACGAATCACATCATGCAAGTGGTACACCTTTGGACCAGACGACTGAAATTCATACACCAGCATGTGGTCCGTCCCGCTGCTCAAGATAAGTGACTTCTCCACAAGGGTCCTCAGCACCTCCCGCCCCTTGTATTCCTCATCACACAACCCTGTGCTGGTCATGACGTCGACAATATCAGACTCCCTCGCATGGTAGTCCTCAGGCAACATCGACATGCCCAGCATTGTTGTCTGATGCTCCTTGGGAAGATTGTCAAAGCTCAAACGAAAAACTCTGTAGAATACATCCTTGTGATCCAATTTGTCACTAATCCTTTTGGCAGCTTTTTCCCATTGCTCTCTTTCCCAAGGGGTGGCAGCTGTGCCTGAATCCTCCTTGTACGTTTTGACCTCCCCTCCCATGATTTCCAAGGCGAGTGGCAGACCCGCACACTCAGTTACAATGTCATCGACATGCTGTGCTTGCCATCTCTCTGGCTTGCCATCGCCAAATGCACACTTACAAAACAGTTTGTATGACTGTTCCTCATCCAGGGCAGGGACGTAGTGACGCTCAGCACCCATACAGGCTGCAACCTTGTCGTGTCTTGTAGTTATCAGTACACGACTGTCATTGGAAGCAAACTCAAGGTCCATAATGTCCTGTTCCTCCCATACATCATCCAACACAAGGAAGAAATCCTCGCCTTTGAATTCCTCCTGCAAACGCAGCTTGCCCTCTTCAGCAGTCATGAAGTGCGGCCCTTTGGTGTGACGAATTGCCTCCCAGACAAATCTTTGGGTCTTTGTCATTTCTGGGTTCTGCGAAACCACGACATACCCATGGGTCGGATACCTTTCCAGAATTCGACGATTGTGGATGACCGCACGTGCCAGGGTGGTCTTGCCGATTCCACCCATGCCAAGAATAGCAACATAGCGTTTTTTGCCTTTCAACAGCATGTCTATGACTCTAGACACCTGATCATCCAATGCAACAGCATCTGGGTGTGCAGGGAGATCACTTGTTGACGATTCAATCTTGGGCACTGCACGAAGCTGGGATAGTGTTGACAATCTGCTTGGCCTTGGCTCTAGGACTGTTGAGCACAGGTACCACAATTTTTGTCAGCATCCAGTCACCACACTCTGCTCCAGCAGAGGCACTTTCTTGATCAATGCTTGCTGCCAAATGGTTCGCTGAGCTCGAAAGAGAGAATGCTAACAATGCGAATGCCCTGCACTGAATGTCGTGGCCTGCAGGAGCATTCGAGGAACAAGTCCACATGTGGTCCACAGGCACAGGCAAAATCATGGGGATTATTGTAGATATGATACATATGCAAACATTAGGCACAGTTCACCACCTCCCAAACTCCATTGATGTGCAGTGAGCTTTGTTGCCCTTGAGCCCTGCCTGCTCAGTCTTTGGTGGATCAAAGGCAGTGGGCGGCACTGCTGCAGCAGATGGTCTCCACTTTGTTCCACATTTCAGACGTGTGCCAATTGCATCTCCACTGACATGGTCATATCTAAATCAACCAATCAACAGGAATCGGAAGACTGCAGGGATTCACATGTCGACTGCAGGAGAGGTGCAAGTTGGCATTGATTGCTCACTAGTCACTTGTTTCTGCACTGGCTCCAACGATTTCTGCACTCCAATAGCCCAGTTCTAACACCGGTGCACACTAAATCAGGAAGAACAACCCAAGTGACCTGACCTGATTCTTTGTGGGGTACTGTGATTGGCTCAGGGACTTCTTCAGAGCTGGGTACGGTCCTATAAGAAGTGTTGCGAATGCCAGGTACTTGCCAAAACTGCATCAAAAACATGTCAGCAGTGTCAAATGTATTTACATGCATGTGTCAAAATCTGCACCATACAGAAAAACTTCCAAACTCACCCTTTCCCCTGTTCACGTTACACAGTCACCACATTAAACATTTCGCATTTTACAGGCATTGAAGAAGATTACATGACTGGTCCATTGTGCAGCAACAATAGGAATTGGAATGGTGGCATCCTACAAATAAGGATCGTAATAACAAATAATACCATAGGAATCCAGATCGAATCAACAACCGCACTGGCCTTCTGAAATCAGCTAGGTGGCAGGGCACTGCCTGGTTCAATCGCAACTAACCAGACAAGAAATAAGCCTATGTTGTGAGCCTGCGTTTGTTGGAGTTGGGTCCTATATCTTTCAGCAATGCAGGATATTGGAAGGGCTTGCCAGTACTGGGAGCATCACTGCAGCTTCAAGGTGCACATACTCTGGGGGTTTACCGTCTCTTCAAAAGCTTTGCGGTGGTTTCTTTGTGTGTCTAAACCACAATCTGAGTGGCAATATGAAGGACAATGAAGGACACAATCGGGAGCCTCTGGTGGATAAGTCTGTGGCCCAGATGGAATAGGATGCAGGGGCTCCGACTGAAGGGGAACGAGCACTCACCAGCAGACAGAGCCGAGCAAAGAAACTGCTCTGAAGGAAGACATGTTCAGGCATAGCAGGCAACATTCGCGCTGATCCAAAATCAAGGCAGAGCAATGCATCGTGCTTGCAGTTCTTGCAGACATTACCTGAGCTGTCCCAAGGTGGCTGCATCTCCAGTAGATCAATAAGATGCCCATCACCACGGCAAACAATAATGCCAAGGAGACAATGATCTGCAGCAACCATAACGCCAAGGGGTACCAACATCAGCAGGCTGTCAGTAACGCGAATGTGAATTGGGCGACAACCATGAATGGGCTGTGCCTGGAAGCACCGCCTGCAGTTTTGAACTGCAGTGCATCAACGAACTATACAAATAAGCAAGGTGCTGTGCTCCTATTCATCCACAATGCTTCACATCTCATTCTTGGATGGAAAAGGTGCACAAGCTGCCAGTGTCAGCGGCATGCAGCAGCTGCCCATTGAAGCAGTTCCCTTTTCTATCAACAAAGTTACAAAGCATGTCACATCCACCAGAAACCTAAAGGAACAAGAAACAGGTGACCATGTGCAGTACCGATGACTGTGGATGGTCTTCAGCAATATACAAGCACACACCTTTGTGTGTAACCTGCCTGCCTGAGGAGCACCTGGCTTACCCTGTGGTGCACCACAACCCAACCATCAGCACTGCTTCTCCTGATGGTGTGCAAAACTTGTCAAAAAGAGCAAGAAAGATCAACATCTTTGCAAAAAACATGTACATGCTCGTTTGTGTTGAGAGGCAAACAAATATGCGCAAAGCTTCACTACTCAGCATGCTGCCAACTGACACCCATGCAAGCCATAGGATGCTCATGTCCCATTACAGCAAAGCAAGAACCAGTCTGGACCAACTTAGCAGATGGAACTATGTCCTGCATGGCCTTGCAGTTACAAGGGCAGGACTTTGTCAAAATTTTGATCATGTGATCAGAGAACTGGCACACTCACCTCAGACATGCAGTATTCTGGGGATACCTGGAAGACATCAAGCCAGAAAGAACATCCTGAGAATGATCTGGGTGACAATTGGCGTCGGCATAGGGCACAGGCAACACAGATATAACACAGGCGTACGTGTATAACTCAGTGGTGCAGCCAATAGCAAACCAATTTCAGGATGAAAGAGCAGATGAGCCAACATCAATTCACGAAACTTGATCTTGGTTCTTTTCCCACACGTGAATGTTGCTGTAATGCCCACAGCACCATCAGCTGTCTCATCATACGCTGTTTGGCAACGAGAGGAAAGACAGAACATTGTGAGACCAAATGTCTGGGTATGGAAAAGCACCTATCATCATATCACAGGCATATAAGGGCTATGTGCTGTCCTGGTTCACAAAATTCATGCAACACAAAGTTCCAAGGCCAAACTTCACCTTGCTGCCCCCGAACACAACAAATTTAAGTACACCGTTTTTGGCAACTTGTCTACTACGACCACCACAGTTGTCCAGTGCCTATGCAGGAGATATTGGCAGCGGCACCTGTGCTGGCTGACAGCACTTGAAACAATCGGGATTTCTAGCCACGTGCGTGTTCGGTTTTAGGGCTTCAAGGACTGAAGCACAGGATGAGAACACATCATGGTCCTGTCAACCTACCTTGCCAGACATGACATCTGTCATCCAATCTCGGTAGCGATCAACGCGAGTGTACAATCCAGCACTGCCATCGTCACTACAGTTTCCCCCAGACGACACCACCCCCAGAATGAGGTCTATAGAGGGGTTCCCTTCTTCCAAGCAATTGAACCGCATGTCTGGCTGAAGCAATGGGCCCCCTGAATCCCCTGTTGAAGCAAAGAATGCACTACTTCACTGCCATGCTGCAGCTGCGATTCTTGCAAACAAAGTCAGTCAATGGTCTCCAAATCCAATGGTGGAGTGGTATGTCCCATGAAACTGTGCATTCATTCAGCCGTATTGAGTTCACGCATGTTTCGATTGTTGTGTAGGTCTGTGCAAGGTGTGTGACATATTAGCGACAGTTCTGTCCAGACCAAAACTGGCAAGATGCTGATCTTGCATTGACAAGGCTGGGGACAGGCATGCTGTGCTGAGAATGCCTCACAGCCAAATTGATAAAGCAGAATGAGATGGAGTCAACAGGAACTTGCGCAACAGTGACAATAGCAAAACGACAGCAGATGGAGCTGTGCTTCACATACAAATAACCAAACAAAAGGAAGGGTTCCAAATCAAATGCAGTACTGAAATCTGGCACAGCAGCCGCCCATGGCACCTGACAATTGTCCAAACAGAAAGCAGCTATCCAATGGAAAGTCAGCACTACTTAATCATGAACAGTTCACTCAGTTCAAGTATTAACGATTTGAGCACGTGAACAACTGCATGGAATAAACAGATATATCATCGAGACCAGGATGTTCAGATAACTGTCAGATTTATTGACAATGACATGAGAAAAATGGCGCCCATTTCACCTCAGTTGACTACAGCACGAACGCAATGAAAGAACAGAAAGCATCCTTGGCCCTGGCAACTGTCCCCTGCCGGTTAATGGCCAACAAGGAAGCAAACACGAACAAAGAAAGTGGTTTTGAGCTCCAATGCATCCAAATCAGCCTCAAGCATCAAACCAAAATCTTGCGTGCTCTACTGCCTGCCTGGCCACACAAGCAGTTGGCAGTGGGCATTCAGCACTAGTAGTGAGGCACTTTATCCCCACATTTCCGTGTTTGGTGAAGCACACTGTATGCAATACCCTGGAACAAGACCAGGTGGACACACAACAGGGACAAAAGAACATCAAAGTGGGCCTAGCTGTTGTTCCCGCAGCAATTTCCTTGCCTCCAAACCAAAACTGTTTGGAGGATCGCTGTGGATTGGAATCAAATCTGCCCGTTACAAGAGTTCAAGGCAACTGGAGACACTGAATCGCTACATATTGCAGTGCTGTCTTGTCTAGCATCATTCCATCCCTCTCATCACAACAATTGTATGAATTCAATAATGAATTCAATAATTTTAGTGCATCCCAATGTTCAATAGAAAGAAATTCTCACCTCTACACGTGTCCTGCGTACGTGCATAGGCACAGAGGAGATGTGGTGCCACTGCGTTTCTGTAAGGACAACGATCCTTATCTGCCAAAATAAGATCTGTCGCCATTTGCAGTTCAGGTGGCAGGTTGCCAATCTTGTTCAGACCCCACCCCAGGGCATACACCGGGGTCCCCTTTCGCAGAGTGCTACCAGGCTCTGCGAGGCTTGGTGTCTTAACATGCACTCTTTTGGGCAGTTGCAGGAGTGCGAGGTCCACACCAGACTGAATGTTGCCTTCCCAGCCTGGGAAAATGCATGTTCGCGCAATCCGCAAGGCCTGACGGCACAACCCATCTGGTTCAGCCACCTCCCAGACCGCTCATATGACTGGCAACGGTACTAGGTGGGCTGGAGTAACAATACAAACATGTGCCAATCTGCCAAGTCCAGGTTCACATGTGCGCATATCTCTGGGGTGGGGAGGAGGTTTTCAGCCAAAGCAGATTTCCACAAGTTGGTGTGAGATACACCGTCGGCTCAAGTGTGCTTTCCAGGCATTCTTTCTAAGATCTGGATTTGTGGGGCGTAATTTTGAGCTGACTGAAGATTATCTGGACACAACACAATCCTGCGACACACGGGCGACGCAGGTGGGGTAAGGGTGCTTCTATTGGGGCAGCAATGCATAGCCGCTGAACAGTGACTGTGTAAACATACAAAATATCAGAAGTGGACAAATACGGCAAGAAACAAGCAAACAATGAAGAGACACTGGTGGATACCACTACTATGTCTCCAAACCATGGAATCACACCAGCAGCACTGTGTTATCACAAGACCCTTTAAATGACAACCAAATTTCAAGAACAGCGACTGTGGAGAAGGACAACCGTTCATGGGTGCCACAAATTGTGAGCTATTAAAAGGTGAAGCCACCCACTTGCAGCTGTTGATTCATACGGGCACTGGTGCTCCACAAATCGATCGCCAAACTCACCACAAATCCCCATCGACTGGTTGCATCAAATATCCGGGACAAACTATTTCCCTCGCAACAGTTATGCGATGTCACATCACTGAATGCATGTTAAGGAAACGCACCACAACGCCACGCTTCTTCTCGTCATCATTCGTGGCGTGGGGACTGATGTGAACTATTCCGTTCTTTCCGATGCCATTCTTCTCGTCCACGCAGTGTGCCGCCGTCAACACATACTGACGGTCGATGAGTATGCCTCCACAAATGTGCATCCTGCTGGAATCCCTGATGCTGACCATCCAAGGGAACCGGCCCTTGGGAGCAGGAGTTCCATTCTACCAACAAGACAACCAAGTACAGCGTTACCATTTGCAGACAGCACAATCTCTTACGATTTGAGCCCAGATTCCCAGGCAGATCTTCCTACTCGAGAACCATTGGAGACATGAAATAGAATTTTGGGGCCTGCAACGCTTTCCATCGCCGTAACAGAGCCAAAATGCCGCACAAGTCTCGATGGGAGTCAATGCGACACCTGACACTCAAGTGTACTTAAATGCTACTTCAAAGCTGCATATTGCTCCAGCTGTAGAATGGTCAACACTAATCGGCCAGCAACTGCACCCCAACTCTTGTATCTGCAGAGGCTGGCTCTGCTTCGATGTGGCAGCAGTATCGCGCATTGTGGTGAAGCAAAAGTGGGCGCACAAATTTGATGCACCAATAAGGCACAATAGAAGAACACAAAGAGAGATCAGGAAAACACTGGCTGTAAAGACCTCAGAAGATGGATACAAGTAGAAAAGCACAGCACTCATTGTGCACAAGTACCAATTGTGACCGATAGCCGCCCTGCAACTGTCAAGACCCTGTTGTGATGCTTTCCATCTCACAGGTGTTTGTTCAAAACATATTATTTGTTGTCAACTGCAATCCCAAAAGCCCCATGCAGAGTCAGTGCTCCATAATGGATTGGCTCCCTCATTCAAAGCGAATGTGATTCCAAGATTTTCAACCTAAGAGTGTAAGGTAAGTGCAGTACTTGCATTCAGAGCTCATTCCATCCTCTAAAATATGCAGGAGGGTTTCAAGCACTTGCGTCAAGACATGGAGCCCCATGGAAAAGTTGCTGGCAAAAACTATCTGCCCTGAGCTTTTGGCGCTCAAGATCTCATGCAACCAGGCCAACCAAACGTGTGCAAGACGCCAGCTGCATTGTGGCACAGTGTGATCGATAATGCATACAGAGGTGATCCACACCAATGTGTCTGCCTTTCGATGCCCCTGGTAGCCTGTATCAAAGCATCACTGCAAGTGTCCTACATCGCCTTGTGGGCAGATGATCGGCCATTCTGCCTCACGCTGCATACATGGTGATGGATTTATTGCCATGTATGCCAATAACGGGTGCTATTGTCACTCACCTTCAACCTAAACGTTGGTGCCTGCACTGTGGTTTCTCTCTCCAATCCTGCCATAAATGGGTCACCTGGCTGTGACAAAGTTCTGCCCTGTGGCAACTCATCAGGCATCTGAGATCTTTCTTCACAGCTTGTAACCACCGGGGAGCTTGTTGACGACAAGGGATTATATGACTTCCAGTCATAGGGACAGATATGCCTGTCATTGCCACAGGCATTTGCTCGATTCACTCCTTTCGAATCCAAAGATGTCAAGTGAACGCTTGTTGAAAGCCATAAAAGCACCACCAGGAGCTGCATCTATGGCATGCACTGCATCAAACACAGAACACGGGTGTACTCAATGTTGCTGTTGCCATTCAAACCAGGTAACACCAATGCCATGTTGCCATCCCATGTTCATGAATCTCTAATTCATTTTCACAACCTCAACGCTCTTTGCCCAATCAGGACCAGCACTTGCCGTTGGAACAATGGAAGGAATGAAAGAGAAGAGAGGCCCCACATGAGCTAACATACAAAAGCCCAGTAGTACATTTGCAGCTGACAAAATTATAGCGTCCCCAACAGCACATTCCTCGAATTCGCTGTAGTACATGGCATGCAGTTTCAGCATTAAAAAAATTGTCAGCACATAGGTGGCTGCCAAGGAGGGCTGCTTCTAACCTGACGAATACCACCTCAGGCCAGTGGCGCAACAAAGCAACAACAGTCGCAATTCGCAGCTTTTCCGGCTCTGTAAGCGGTGCCAAATCCTTGAATGCGCAGTACGCTGCCTTCAACGCACAAATTGCGACTACGCGGCTTGCTTCTGCACTGCGGCGATCGAGTACAATCCGGTGCAGCGATGACGGGTGGCGGAGAGCTATTCTATGTGGCACCGTTGACATCCGGCGAAGTACATTCGAGCCCTTTCTGAACGCGCTCTGTAGCGCCCCAGACTGGTGCCGCCGGGGCCTGCAGTTGGCCCCAGGGCACTTTGCCATCGGCACACGTAATCCTCCCGGGCGTCAACCAGCTACTCACTTGACTTCGCCTGACCTCGCCTTGAGCGTTCCCAACGCGAGGAACGTGCCTGAATGCTTCGGCACCAAACAGCAATTTGGGCGATGCTGCCCCTCGTCGCTTCTAAAGATTACCGGATGAGAGTGAGGCGGAACTGGTGCGACCTCCGCTCGCGATGGCCCCCCCCCCCCTTGCCCCCTCCTTCACCCACGAGCACCACGCCATGAGAAGCCCGCTTCCCAACTCCGATCCCCCGCTTCGAGTCCGACAAACGCCGCCGTGCGCGGCTGGGCACCCCATCGGTGCGCCCCTTCGGCCCTTCGGGGCCCCCGCGCTGGATTGCCAGCGTAGCATTGCGCCATCCCCCCCCCCAAAAGCCGATTCCCTTCCGACATCGAAAGCTGTCAATCGACTGCCGCCATGCGTGGCGCGAAGCGTCAGCACGGGAGCGCGGCTCGCGCCCAACCGGCTGCTTGCCGTGGGGTCACGAATGCCGCCCAGGAAGCGAGGCCCGCGGCCCGTCAAGCGTCCATGGGTCCGTTCCCTCGGTGCCCCGCCGCCACCGGCACGGCCGTCCACCGCCGCGGGGAAGCCGGCGGGGCCTCACCTGCAGGCGGCGGGCAGACCTCCCAGCAACCCCCACCCGCCCGCCGCGCGTCCGCAAGGCAGCTGACCTCACGTAAACAATTGGCGAAGCTTGAGCAAAGTGTATGGGAAGTTTGGCAACACAGCATGTGGGTCACGGTGTTGCAGCTGGAACTGATTAGTATTACTAATAACTGAATGCGTGAAAAGATGATGAAGCACCAGGAATTGCATTAGGGACGTTGATGAACGGACTGAATACAAGGACGGAACGCCTGTTGTCCTTCTGCCTCGGCTGTAAACCGTTGCCGTGGGCTCGAGCGCACAACTCCCGTTCAGGGATCGCCACCCCAGATCCTGGCTGCCTTCGTCAACGGCCATGGAAATTGTCAGCGAATCGTTGGGCCACAGTCATCATCATCATTTATCACGTAACATCGCTGGGCCACAGTCACGGGCCACTGTCACTTGTGGCCCGAAACCACCATTTCTGGTCCCGGGAAGGTAATTGGTGCTGATTCATGGTCGGCAGGCAGTCGGGAGCCAAATGAACACGCTGCACGCACGTTCTTTTGCAACATAGGTAGCCGACGGCTACCTCATTGCCTTGTTCCGTAAAAAATAATGGTGATGATGATGACCTTTTGCAACACACCGAAGCTGCGAACCCCGGAAGAAAGTCCAGGTTTCGGTGTGGGACCCCTCCTTCATGGTCGCAGATGTTATCTCGTTGGGAGGGATCAAGAATAGTTTCCCGATGGTGGGAAATCTCCCCTTTGGCCGTCAGCATAGGGTTCCCATGCTGGGACATGTTTGGAAGGCCTGCTGGCGGCCGGCTGGAAGGAAGAGTCACAAGCAAGACAAGCCCGCCGTTTGTGCTCGACTCCCGGTCGTTTCCGGGGCTGTGCGCGGCTTGAGGTGGCGGCGCTCAAGGCTGCGTCTTTTTTTTTATGGGCACACCCCCTCCCCCCCCCCGGCTTTAGAAATGGCAACCATTGCGCACCCACTAGTACATTCCCTCCTCAAGAGCTAGCCGGGAAAGAAGACGACACACCAGCATCAGGGGTCGCAGAGGCAGTTGTAAGTGTGGCCCCGTGCCGACTCGCGCCCTCTGCGCACTAGTGCGGCGAGTACTCGCCGCCATTCCCGCCGCCTAGACAGCCGGCGGTTGCAACTCTGTACCATGACCTGCGATCACGTGCGTCCCCTTGCCCAACAAGCCGCACAGCCAAAACCAAGCTGCAGTGACGACAGTCCCATGACGCACTTTCGCACAACGTAGCAGGCGATGGGCGATACCATATACTACAGTGAGAGAGTATGTGCTCTCACCGTTGCCGCCCAAACTTCAGTGAGTCCTTGCAACGCCGCGTGGGCGGCGCATCTGTCTCCGTGAAGAGACGCCCACAGTTGCGGATGTACAGGTTCGGGCACTTCAGCAGGTTGTGAAGGGTCCTTGCATCGACGTGCTATCCGCTACCTCTGCACTTATGTCATGGACTAAGCTCGCTTGGACTGTTTGTTGGCAATGGCGCCTCAAGGCTTGGAGACGATATCAGAGCTTATCTGCCCGCAGCGGCGAAGCCCGAAGCGATGACAAGGGAACAGAGCCCAAAACAGAGCGGTCGAAGATTAACCACGCTCCACAGTGGAACGAAAAACAACAAAGCAAGGCAAGGAACCATATTGGCGGCCAATGCAGTCTGCCTACCGCATCCTGTGAGTTGATACTCAAGCAATTGCTGGTTGTATGGCGCGCTGTGTCAAAGATGCGTCGACTGCTTATTCCAGCTGGCTGTGTTGGCGCACTTTTAAATGCTCGCAATTTCACACACGGGCACTTCAATCAACAAGTTGAGAGCACAATGTGCGTATGAATGTACGGAGATGTTGCTCATCTTGCCAAACTTCCAGAAGAAAACACCGGTCGACTTCCAGATGTCAACTTCCAGAAGACGTGGAGTGCTAAAATCTGACACCAGGTGGGCACCCTTGATTCGTGCCGTGAATAGTGACACAGAATTCAGATTTTGAGTCTGACAGGATGTGGTGTTTGGGTGAGCAGTATTACATGCCCCAACTGCAGAGTTGCCATGAGTACACTATACCATGTGTCAAAGAAAGCTAGTCAGTTGCATATCATACATTAACTGAGATTTACAAATTTAGATTGAGATGCATGGAATTTGCAGGTGGATGCATAACGTGTGGGTACTGGTTCCAGATTATTTGTCAATTGAACAAGCGGCACGGAACATGAATGGCCATGGTCTACTCATCCACAGAGCCTGACACATCAGCTCTTGACATTCCCATACAGCTGGACTGCTGCAGCAGCACCCAGTGTCCACCACCAACTCACCCTGAAAACATTGCCAGACAATGGCAAAAAATTTAGCAAGTCCAATTCCAATTTTGTTCACCTGTTGGAAATTTCCGCACGACTAATGGGTTCCTTGCCTGCTTGCCCACCCTGGTGTCCATGTCAAACGGACTGTGGTGGCCCCATCATCTATCGTTTTGGCCTATTGCACTTTGTGCTGTTCGTTCGTTGTTTGCTACACGGCATCGATCTGACCCTGCTATGCATGTTTGCTCATCTCTTTTGTTCCAGATCTTTGTCATAATTTCATGCAATTACTCCGCACATTTAGGTGGCTGCCCTTGTCTTGCAGGTGAATACCCCCGAGACAGCTTCATTTCCTCCCTCGCCATGACAGACTTGGCTTCCCTGGCAACCTGGATGCCCAAAAGAAGATATTAACAGAATGACGTCGGAAAGGCAGCAGGTGTGTTTATCCCACGGAGGCCTGTGTCAATGGCTTGCATTTTTCAATCGGAGCACTCTTGCAGCACTTTGACACACATCGGAGGAGCGAAATCATGAGTGGCAATGAAGCTGCCTTCATCCAACTTGAGCAAGCATTGACTACATGTGCTTGAATCCTTCATGACTACATTCATGAGTATATGACAAAACACAGAGATTGCACCAGCTGGGCAGCGCAGGGCATAGTTCACATCTGCAATTGTTTTCTCCAAAAGCGTTTTGCCCACAGTCGATACCAAACAGCTCTGGACGCCAACACCTGACGAAAGAAAGAATGAACACTCTCCAATCCACGGTGAGGAAGTGGGAATGGATATCCCTGTGATTGACATCACTATGCTCACTAACAAGGGCGTCACTGCAGTGGATGTCACTATGCACATGAACTGTTGTTTTTCGTTTGCCAGTTGGTGCCATCCCATTGGGACATCTGGCCCTGGGCGTGCTGGACACTGTGAAAAGAATCGCCGAATGGGCATTCAGTCCATTGTCTGTTCGGGGGCTGCTGAGCTCTGCTCGCCTCATGAATCGGCATTGGTGGCTGTGGGCGACGGGATCGGTGACCAGGCTGTCAATCAAGATGCACGTGCCTTTAAGATCCATGCTGAGTGCCATTGCGCACAAGTTTGTGAGCGCCCAACACATTGCTTTCGCCTTTCCCGGTTGTGTCCATGGACGCGACCTGATGGGGCTGGAGCAGCTGCAGCGTTTGACAGACATTGATCTGTCAGCGTGTGGCGAGCTGGGAAGGGAAGTATTGGAGTACGTCGGGCAGCTGAGAAACTTGCGCTGTTTGCACTTGAGAGCAAGCCTGGGCGGCATCACCAACTCCGGATGGGGCCGCGTGGGCCGGTTGCCGTCGCTGACTCACCTCGACCTGGGCCGGACCCGGATGACCACAAACGAGTTTTCTATCCTTGGTAACATGACCAGCCTCACACACCTGCTTCTGCAAGAATCCGAGCTTCTGTCTGATCATAGTTTGGAGCTGGTGGGAAGGTTGAAGCTGTTGCGAACTCTGTCCATCTCGGCATCTGGTGAATTCAGCGATGCTGGGTTAGGGCATGTGGGGCGGCTTACAGACCTCAAGCATTCGGACGCATCCTCACGCAACAGGGTCACAAACAATGGAATGAGCCAATTGCTTGGGTTGGCTGCACTCACTTACCTGGGCTTGTCTTTCTGCGATGTCAGTGATCCTGGCTTGAGGTGCGTGGGAAGGATGACGACGCTGGCATGGTTGGACTTGACCTACACGCCAGTCACTGATGACAGCCTTGCTTCTAAGTCGGCTTTGACGTCGCTGAAGTGGTTTAAACATACCCGGCTGTGGACGGGTCACGGACTGAGTTTGGGAGTACATAGGCAGATTGTCGGCTTTTGAGACTTTGAACATGTTGGATTGCTTGAGTTTTGGAGATGGGGAAGTGCAGCACTTGAGCCAACTCACCAATCTCACGGAGCTGACCTTGTGCGGCTGCAGAATCACAGATGAGGGACTGGCGCAGCTCCAGCAGTTGACGCGCCTGAGGCACGTGCACATGTGAGCCTTGGCCAGGTGTAGGATTGTGACGTAATGGAGTACGGCTATTACGGGAGGCCACGTACGTGACATTGACACTGAGTACGCAACATTGTTTGGAAAGGGATATTTGAAAGGTACTTCGCATTTCAGTGTGTGTGTACCAACAAAGGGACCTCAACAGCACGCTTGTGTGGGCACTTTGTGCGGAGGCCAAGGTGCTAGAAGCAAGTGAATGTACCATGCTGGACAGTCCATTGGAGATTCCCTTGAGAGGAATCCACGCGTTGTCTCGGCGTCGATTTCGCTCGGCGTGCGATGTAGCTGGGGTCATTTTCAAGAGCCGAGTGTGCGGGTTTATAGGGATCTCCCCTTGGTCCCCACTGTATGTCGCTGCTCTGCCACCCGATCCCCCCTTGAGAGTCTGAAGTCTTGAAGACTGTGAAGTCTGGTTGTGGGACGCAGACAAGCATGGAGATAAATGTGAGGAGCCATTGCTTCCTTGCATCTTAACGTACAGAAGCAATTTTTATTTACATTTTCCATCCCCAATTCGCACATATTCGTTTGTGCCGTGTCCCTTTCACAAAGCAGGGGAACAGCGTTCATTTGGAATATCCCGATTATGCAAGGTCCATCCATCAACACAAGCAGCGACACAGCGTCATCGCATGGTGGTCCTGGCCGCAAGCACGCTGACGCCCAGTGGAAAGCAATCAATAATTTACAAAGCTCTTCAGCCGTCACCACCACACGGCGCACCACAAATGCAATGGTGGCGCCCGGGGAACGCTCGTGAATTATTCCAACGAGTCACGGCTTGCGGCTGCGGACCCAGCAAACTGGCACCTACCTAGTGGCCCCAAATCTGGCGTCGAAATCTAGGGAGACGCGGACGAGGCCCGATGTAGATCTGCTATATGTGCGACCAACGCCCTATTGGTCGCAGGGTGACCCTGATAGTATCCAATAGTATCTGATAATATCTGATAGTACATGAACCGCCACATGCGACTGACTGTGGAATTGGTGCATCTGCCCTGTGAGTGCCCAGCAATCGAATTGCTGCGCCACTGCCGATCGCTCTTGGCATGGCCAACTGAGCGCTTCTCTGGACTGATCATCCGTAGGCCTCCGATGCCCGCGTGAGCAATCTTTCCAATTCCTCCACCTCCAAGTCGTCGACGGGACTTGAAGCCCAGGCTACGTACCTAGGGCCACAAAGCAGCGGTTGTCAACATCTGCATATTTTTAATAGTTCAATAACAGCTATTGATCGCTTTGGTTCCAACAAGAATGACTATATTTACAACAACTATACAACTAAAACACCCTTCCACCCAAAGTTGATATAAGACGCAGAGCTTGGCACTTCACCTTTGTACTTGCTAGCAGCAGGCAATGGTGTACAGGCAGCACCTGGCCGTACTGTGCTGCAGCACCCGGCGCTTATGCCCTGCTTTGCCTCACAGGTGCGTACTGTGCAAACTGGGAGGATTCTCCAATACCCATCATTACTGGATATGAAGGTCACGAAGCTCCTGAAGGGCGCTAGAGGCTAAAACCCCAAAATCTAAACAAATCCAAAACACCCTGAGCCATAAAATGGCCCACACGAACTCCATGAACTTCATGGCTTCATGTCCAGAAACGGAGGGCATCAGGCATTGGAGCAAACTGGCGGCTGCCTCACCTATGCAGCTGCTCCAGGTCTGGACGATCGTCCTGGGCGATGTGGACGAAATCGGCGCCTGCATGCTGCGGCTGCCTGCTCTCCAGCGCCCACATCCCATCTGTCCGCTTTTGGAAGCTCGAGTTGGGCTGCAGGAAGCCAGCAGCCGCGACACGGGACTGAGTAACGTTGGGCTCCAAGAACGGGCGGGAAACCCTGAAGGCAGGAATTTCGAATGTAAGCCAGGGCCAGTGGAAGCCCAATAGCAGTTCAAAAGAATGGAACACAATAACATGCACAAGTTCACTGAGATTAGAACATGGATGTGCATAGCACGCGTACGGTATGTAATTCATATCTGTGGTACAGTGGCAGAGTGATGTGCAGTGGGGCACTTCAGCAGTAAAGCAGTGCTTCGCGTCTCATACTCTCAACAGGAAATGCGATGTGTCATTTTGAGCCAATCAAACGTACAACAGACACTGTACTGCTCTGCAACAGAATCACTAACGTATCATTCACTCTCCCCACTTCCAGATCTGGAATGCGACATCACGTCTTGGAATCAAAGAGGATTCGTGCCATTAGGATGAAATGTGAAGCGAGCACATGTCTGCGACTGCACAGCTTATGATAGCCCATGGTGCACTTCGAACAACGGAATCGGCAAAGCACTGTCTTTGTGCAGTAGGCAGTGCGAACTGGCCAGGTCAAGGAGCACTAACAGCAGGACAAAAAATACCCAAAGATGTCATGGCAATTTGACAATAGCAAATGACAGCTGCATGATACACAAACGCACACACTTCGAAATAACAGCAGTGGAACATTCATTTATTGCAACTGGTTCATAAGCATCTTGACTAAGCACTGGATAACTCTATTCAGGAATTACAAATATACCAAATGGGCGGGTGTCAATGATCTGCCAGAGTTACTCACATGGAGAGCTTCATTGCGTCCTTGGGCGCCTCCTTCAGCTGCCCCGCCCCCTCAGAGACAGCCGAGTAGGGCAGGCCCAGAGACTCCTCAGCCCAGGGGTCCGCCTCTGGGCCCACAGGGGCCGGACAGGGCAGCTGCGCACCCCCTGCATCCTCTGTCCACTTGCCAAGGGAGTCCGTGACGAAGTCCCAGAAACTGTCCCCCGCACCAATCACGACACCCGCAGTCATGACCTCAGCAGCGACGCTGGCCTCCGTCACAGACATGAGGTCGTCCCACACATGCTTGCAGGGGTCGGCGCCAAGCTCGAGGCACCTGATCGAAGAGGGTGAAGGCCATTGGGCAGCAAGCAAGAAATGGTGATGAAGGCCTCTTGAGCGAGAACCAACCCATGGCATCCAACCGACAGTAGATGATAAGCAAGGCGGGCAAATACAAACATGTTGTGCTCGCACAAGACGGTATTCTTCCTCTGTTCCGCACTCGTGTCAATGCTGTCTGTACCATATCTTTGTCATAAGTTATGACTACAAGATGTGGTGTGTAGACAGCGGCGACAAAAGATATTACTAATGTGAGGATAAGGAAAATGTGTATAAATAGTTAAGTGAGTGTGGTGCATCGGATACGGTGTTTATTACGGTGACACGGAGAATGATGGGAAAAGATATGAACTGAACACGCTTGCGGTGAATGCTACATGACAGACAGAACCATTCTGTAATCCATCTGGTTGCGGTTTGCTTCCCGTGCCTGGGAGCGACCGTGTGTGAGCGCGAGCGAGGAGCGCGAACAGTGAAACCACATAACATGGTTTCGGAGCCCAGGTCGCGCCGGTCGTGGAGACCGGCCTGGCGAGCCTGGTGGATCTGCTGGCTTGTCTTGCTGGCACTCGAGCCGGGGATTGAGGTCGACCTCGGAGCGACCTGTGGCGGTCTTGGCCGAGCATTGAACGGCCGAGATCGTCGCAGGCTGTGGCGCAAAGTGCGGCAGTGGGAGGCCTTCCGCGCGTGGAGGACATTCGCCCACCGTTGGCACAAGTGGAAGCGGTGGGGACAGGAAGATTCGGCGGACGTGGGAGCGACCTCGAGCTGCGCGTCGGGGCGGACGGACAGCGCTGGGAATGACCCGGTGAGCGGGGGAGTGGTGGGACGAATTCAAGATGCAACTTGGCATGCGGGCCTGGGGGAGACGGGGGACTCGGTGGGGAACGCTGTGGCTCACTCGGTGACCGTTGGGATGGCGAACCATGTCGGTGGCGCAGCGAACGGCCGCGCTTCGGTGGAGATGGGAGCGGCTTTGAGCGCCATGCCGAGTCAAAGACTTGATGCCAGGCAAGGCGCAGTGGGCAGAGAGGGGGGGGGGCGGACGGAAGACGCTGCGAGTGGCGCAAGGGCCGGGGAGGTGGGGGGGCAGGTGGGGAATGTTGGAGGCCGCGCGATGACCGGGGGAACGCCGGAAACGATCGGTGATGCCGCGAATGGCGCGACAACCGGGGAAACAACGGTGGCTGGAGACTGGACGGGGGTCGCAGGTGGTGCAGCGCCCCGCGCATGGCACAAAGGCATCGGCGAGTGGGACGGGATGTCGCGGGCCATCGGTGGGTTGATTCGCGCGGTAACCAGAAGGGCTACGGCGTGGGGACGTGTCGCAGCGTTTTGGGAGTGGGTTGGACGATCGGGGGAGCGGGCGAACGAGGCGGTCGGTCGGCCGACGTGCCAGCCGGCGGGCGCTCCGCGGGCGTGGACGCGTGCATAGGGGAAGGCGTGTGGGTTGGAGATTGGGAGCCGTGAGAGCCGCGCGGGTTATGAACGCCCTGGAGATGGCGAATCGACGGCGAATGACTCGGCCCCAAGGGAGGGCGCCGCGGTGGGCGGGATGTGCGGCGAGGGCACGACGTTGGTGGCCGCGCGGAACGGGGCCCGGCTTGCGCCGGTGGGGGGAACCGACGCCGAGGGGCATGGGTCGCAGCGGCGACTGAAAAGTGCACAGGGCGCAGCGGGACCGGCCGCGGTGACAGGCCATGCGCATGACACGTTAGTCACCAGCGCCGGGGACGGCTTCCCTTCAGGGCAGCCAGCTTCTGTGATGAGCGGAAGCTCCGGCGCGCGCGATTGCAGCTGGGCGCCCACTCCAGTCAAGAATTGCGGTCACGGAGGCCTCCATTACAGCACTCCTGTCGCCGTTACTGTCGCCAGGCCCACAGTAGCTGTTGCGACCACCCCCGTGGCCTCCCCCAATGTGACGCCAACTGGGGGGCCTATCAGCGCGGGACTTTTGCGGACGCCCACGGGACCTCATGGTGTACCCGGGCCCCAAGAACCTGGCTTTCCTCTCCCTTGGCCGCATGTGATGGGGCTCGTAGAGGATCCGTTTCCACCCGCACTGCCAGAATTCGAGTTGGGGCGAGCTGGGAATCAGCTGAACGAGCGAGCCCCGCGGGATATTGACACTCACGGGCTTGGCTTGGCGACGTGGCCTAGCCACATGGCCGCTCATTCTGCCCCTGCATTACGAGCCCCGAACACACCTGGCCCTCGTGACCGGTGTCCCCGGTGGACGGGCGCACTTCCTCAGAGCGCCCCACGGGGAGGCGCTGGCGCTCGTTGGCAACATGCCCCTGAGGGTGTTCTAGCCGATTCTCTGGTCACCGGCACTGTCGACGAGCGTGACCGTATCGAACAGCTTCTCATCATCAGCGGCATTGAGCCCCATCCTGGACCGGATGCCGGGAATGAGTTCTCCGGGCAGCTTTTGGATTCTTTGACGCACGACACCCTCCAGTGGGTTTTCGATGCGGCCCGTTGGGCAGCCAAGGGCCCAGAGTTCGCCCACCGCACGCGAGCCTTGCTACGTTTCTTCCGTCCGGGCAGTATGCCCCACCGACGGATTGCAAAACTCGCTACTGATATCAATGGCGAGCAGCTGGGCAATGCGGACAAATGGACCAATCTGACGACCCGGGTGAAGGCATTATTGCCTCACAATCCGCTTACGGAACAGGACTACCTCGCCCGGATGAAGCGCCGACCGCAGGAGACTTGGACCGATTTTCTCGACCGCTATGCCCTCTATGCCGACACTTGTGAGCATGTCTCGGGTCCTATTAAAGCTGTCGAGCTTTATCGGAAGCTGCCTAAGGACATGCGGCACCAAATCAGCTACCTCCCGCCCAATGCGGCTCTGTCCGAGCTCTTAGAGGCGCTCCGTGGTGTCCGTTATTGGGCCAACTGCACTGGGGACAAATCCACCATGTTTGATCCTATGGACATTGATCTCCATGACCAAGCTCGCAGCACCCAGTCTTTCCATGGCTTGTCTGATACGGCACCGTTTGAGGATCAGTGTGGCCTTGGGGTACGATCTAGCCGCTTCCAGCATCCTGTCTTGCGGGGCGATACCATCGTCTTCAAGAACATTGACGGCCCCCGCAGTCTTATGACCGCGTGGAAAAAGTTGGTTTCCACTTCGCCGTCTCTTAAACGCGAAGCGGAGGATTTTCTCGCCCGTCGCCGTCCTCGCAAACAGCTGCACGAGCAGGAGGTGGAATTTGGGGAAGATTTTGGCCAGGTCCACACTGGCTTTACTGATGGCGAGGACGATTTTTGGGATGACGCCTTTCACGATTGTGAGCCCGACCCGGATGAGGAATGCAATCAGACTTTGACTCTTCCATCTTCCTGCCGCGCCATTCAGAAAAAGTCTCTTCATGTGAAGGTCCGCATTGAAGGTATCGATGTGCTTGCCTTGGTGGATACCGGGGCTACTTCCTCCTTCATTCAACAGCATTTGGTGAAGCGCCTGGGTTTGTGGGATTCAGTGCGACCATGCCATCGTGAGGTCCACTATGGAAATGGTGACTCCGAGCCCATGGTTGGGGAAGTCACCCTCCCCATCAAGGTTGAGGGCACCGATATGCTCATGCCTGCCCATGTTCTTCACAGCAAGGGGCCACCTCTCATCATGGGTTTTACGTTCTTGGAGGCCAATAAGTTGCTGGTTGATTGTACCTCCCGAGCCTTGACCCAGAAGGATGGCGGTGGGCAGGTTAAATGTCTACAGGTGCAGGCCCCACCGGCAACCTCAGCTGCAATTCCTACTTCCTCCCCTTCTTGCTATCCGACCCAGTCTTCAGCTCTACCCCTGCTTGTCGAACGCTTTCCCATTCAAGGTTGTCTTCCGCCCTATCCAACAAAGAAGTTTTCTGGAGATGCTGCTTTCGATTTCTTTGCCCCAATGGAGATTCGCTTGAAGCCAGGGGAGCGCCAGACGATTGACACTGGTATTGCTTGCCAGTTTCCCGCCGGTATGTGGTGCTTGCTGAAGGGCAAGTCTGGCTTGGCTCATCGCTATGGCCTGCAGGTGTTGGGTGGGGTGGTGGATGGCAATTATAGGGGCCATATAAAGGTTATCTTAGTCAACACCGGCTCTGATCCAGTCACCATCCCGCGCAATGCTGCTTTCTGCCAGGGTGTTCTTTTGCCATGTTATTCACCACGTATGGTTCCTGGCACTGTTCGGGTTACCGGTGAGCGGGGGACTAGTGGTGGGGTCAACCGATATATGTTGGGAAACGGGGGGCGGCGCGGCCCAGCGGCGGCTGTGGGCCGCGACTGAACACCTTTCAGTCGCCTCGGGTAGTTGTAGCTGGGGAGGATAGATGGAGTAGTGGACAGCCTGTTTTTCTCGATTTTCTTGAACGCCCTCTTTACCCTCCTTATCGAAAAAATGATCTTTTATTTTTGCCGTTGAATCGTAGTGTGGTCCTGGGGCCTTATGAGACACGCGGGATTAATTTGCCATGCAAGTTTCCAATTGGTTCCCTGCAAGAATATTTCGTGACTCTTCCCAATCGCCAGGTTACGTTTCTTGTTAAAACCGACGGCGTTCGTATTTGGGGAGCTCTCAAGAATTTTTCGGCAGAGCCACAGCAATTGATGCCCCGTTATGATCTTTTAGCTTGCCGCACATCGGTTCAGTGGCTTCGCATTCCAGATAAGGGGGTAGTTTTGATTCCAGAGGGTCGCAAGGGACAGGGGTTTTGTCAGGCGATCAGGGAATCTTCGGGGAATGCGGTTCCAGCCCCTACACCACAGCCCGCATGGTTGTCTGCATTGCGGTCTAAATATCCCGCTGTCTTTCAGGCTGGGCTCGGGACGTGTCGCACGTATGTGGTTAGCCACTTCCCCTTTCGCTTTCCGCTTCCATGGAAATCCCAGCCACGTAATCCCATGACAGGGCCAGCGGAGGAAGCTAAGGTGTTAGAGGAAGTTCTCAAGTTAGTGAAGCTTGGAGCAGTACGTGAGGTAGACCACGAGCCGTTTGTGATTCCGGCATTCGGTGTGCCCAAGAAGAATGGTTCCACTCGGCTGGTTCTGGACTTTAGGAAATTTAACTCGTGTATTCAGCATCAGCCTTTCCTGCCAGTTCATCGGGAGATGTCGTTAGCCTCATTGCGCCCATTTCGCATTGGTTCAGCCTTGGATTTATCTAATGCCTACCTGCAAGTGCGGCTTGCTCCTCGCCTGTGGCGCGCAGTGGGGTTGGCAGTGGCAGGACGCTTCTTTGAGTACACACGTTTGCCTTTTGGCTATTCAAATAGCTCGCATGAATTTCTGCGTGCTTTGTGGCCTACTGTTCGACGAGTTTCACGACGCATTCATTCCCAGATCATTTTTTATATGGATGATATTCTCTTACTTTCACAGTCTACGTCCCAGCATAGGCGGGATATGGATATTTTATTCGAGGAGTTGGCACGAGACGGATGGCGGGTGAACTGGGACAAATGCCACTTTTGCCAGGACCGGTTTGAGTATCTGGGTGTTACTTTGACTTCTTCCGGACTCCAACCTACAGCCTCGGTTTTGACTCAATTTGAGCAGGCGCCCATGCCTACAACCCAGTCAGGTTGGCGTCGAATTCGAGGTTGGCTGAATCATTCTGCTCGCTTCATCTGGAAGGGACATCTCGTGTTGGCAGCTTTGCGGGAGGTTCAAGCACATCCTTCCTCAGAACGATGGCGACATTTTCTTTCTTTGTTACGCCATCATTTCATTCGATGTGCTATTCCTGCTTCAGTTTCTGCGGGTTCCTTCACAATTATTACTGATGCGAGTAAGATTGGTTGGGGCGCAGTTTTGCTTGCTGGCCGTAAGATTGTGCGTTGTGCCCATGGGTTATGGTCTACTGGTTTTCAGCACCATGTCAGCAACGTTATGGAGTTGGAGGCGCTCTGCCGCGCTCTTCGGACCTTCCGGCCTTGGATATTTGGGGCCCCTGTTCATGCAATTATGGACAACCAGGCGGCAGTTAGCTTCAACAATCCTGCTAATCTCAGCGATTTTCTCAAACGCCGTCTGGATCTCCTCTCTTGGTACTCTCCTCAGATTTCCTTTTGTCCGGGACCATTTAATTATCTCGCTGATTTTTTATCTAGGCAGGGGGCATGGATACAGGGACCTTCTCATGTTCGCGCAGTGGAAGAACATCGCTCTCCAGTTATATCCCAGGCACAATGGAAGCAGGCTCATGCCGGGCATTTTGGGGTAAAGAAGACGTTTCTTCGTTTCCGCCAAATGGGCCTGCGTCCAAAGTGGAAATGGGTGGTGGATAGAGTGCGGTCATGCAAAGAATGCCAGTTGTTTCACCGACCGCAACCATCCAACCCGTTTGGCAGTTGGCATGTGCCGGAGAGACCGGGACAGGTCATTGGCCTAGATTTTATGGGACCTTTTCCGGAGAGAAAAGTTGGGAAGAAGCGGTTTGTTCTCGTCATTGTGGACATGTTGACCAGACGGGCAGGGGCGTGGGCAACGACTGGTGCCGGGGGAGCTGATATTGTGAGGGGACTAAAAAAGTGGGTAGCGACACAGGGGGCACCTTCAATTCTGTGTTCTGATGTCTGCAAGGCTACACAATCCAAGGAATTGCGGCGATGGTGCATGCATGAGGGAGTGACGCAAGAGTATTCTCCTCCATACCATCATGCTTCTATTGGGTTTGTGGAACGGTTCAATCAAACCTTATTGAATCGTTTGCGGCGAATGTGGGCAGAGCAACCCAAGTATTTTGCCAAGACAGTTGAGCGAGCAGTGGATATCTACAATGGTACGCCTCTATCTTCACCAGAAGAGAGCAAAGAAACCCCTAGTTCGTTCACTTTTGGATCGCCAGAGCAATTGTGGAATAGCTCGCAGGAAGTGTGGAGTCAGTTGCGTGAGTATACACGTCAGCAGCGAGACATGGCCAACCACAGAACGAGAGGGCGGCGCATCGCGCGAATGTTCAAGGCAGGAGACCGGGTATGGTTGTGGAACACAAAGGTGGAAACATTAAAGGACAAGCTCGAGCCATGGTGGAAAGGGCCGGGCCAGTTGATTCGTCCTATCACGACTTCAGTGTGGGAAGTTAAGGGACCAGAGGGGAAAGTTTGGATTAGACACACGGATATGATACGACCGTACCATGACATGGTTTGAACTGATGGTATTTCAAGTCATGTTTCAATTTAGCGCAGGGAAGCGTGTGAGGATAAGGAAAATGTGTATAAATAGTTAAGTGAGTGTGGTGCATCGGATACGGTGTTTATTACGGTGACACGGAGAATGATGGGAAAAGATATGAACTGAACACGCTTGCGGTGAATGCTACATGACAGACAGAACCATTCTGTAATCCATCTGGTTGCGGTTTGCTTCCCGTGCCTGGGAGCGACCGTGTGTGAGCGCGAGCGAGGAGCGCGAACAGTGAAACCACATAACAACTAATAACGAATCAGTGCAGCAATATTTGTAGGTGTTGCTTTGAAGAGCACACCCCACAACTCCCATCCAAATGCCGGGAATGTGACCCTGGCAACACTTTGCTCTGTGCAGTTCTGGCCCGAATTCTGGCCGGTTCATCCAACCACAGCACACATTGGCATTTTCAGCACCCCCAGAATGGAGACACGGGCAGCATTGCTTGCCTACTTTGTGAGCAGCCCAGGAGTCGCACATGTTCTGAGCGAATACAACATCCATTTCAGCATTCAACGGTGTCGACACAGTGACTTCCAAAACGCTGACATATTTTTGCAACAGAGGAAATGTAAGATTTACTGACGACCAGCGATGGCTAGGCTGCATTCCGTTCCATGTGAATGCCGTGCATGTCAGTTTGGTGGAGTCCAGAGCACAACGGTCCCAAACAAGGCACGACGGCCGACAAATGCGCGCGATCACCAGCGAACGACATGGACTGCATTCGTGTGTTTTGCAGACACTTGGCAATTCCGTGTCTTTGTACATTCAAGGCACACAGGGAGGCAATCCAAAAGACAAATGATGGCTCAGACATTCTAAACAGACACTCTAAATGAGAATGGGCAGGGGAAAGGAAGCAAATCTGGAAAACGAGAATTCCTGCTGGCCCTCACCTTCCCTTCTCAGCCCGCAGTGCCGCCTCGATGACGTCCTCCGGCAGTTCGGCGGGCGTGGAGAACGCCCGGTGGGTCCTGCTGGAGTGCACCAGGCGCCGCGGGTGGTCCTCCTGCTCGTCCTCGAACTGGGGCTTGCCTGCAAAGGCGGACACGGGAGCCGCCTGGCCGCGCGTGGGCTTGCTCTGGGGCGAGGGGGGCGGCGAGGCCCCCAGGTTGAGCTTGGGCACGCGGGTGGCCGTGGAGAAGGAGTGGGGGCGCGGAAAGGGGTTGATCTCGGCGAGGCGGATCTCCCGCAGGCGCTTCGGCGCCTTGGCCAGCGCCTGGAGTCCAGCCTTTGCACGTTTGGTGAAGCTGGGATGCCGGTCGTCGACCTCTTCTGTCTCGGGGATGCGGGGTGTGCTGGGAGGGGAGTTCTTCATGCGTACAGGCACACACACACACACACTCCTTGAATTCCTCCGTTCGTTGTCGCATGGCGGGTGTTCTCTTAAATGCAACCAGGGAGGCAGACAAAGGCATGGAGAGAGTGATCGTTCCTGAAATAGTGCTGAGACAAAAAGTTACTCATCACTGCTTTGGGCACCAATGGAAAATGTCACACAAGATGGGTAGCCCTCCACCGAACACATCCCATGAAAAGTGACTCCACAATAACACTGGCAAGAATGACACTGCGCTTGGCATGTATATGGCGTGGGAATCTGCACAATACAGGGTACACCTGGAGCACTGCCATACGAGTCTGAAAGAAAACATTTGGGGAGTACAGAATTCACCCCAGTTACCACGTGCGGTACTTGTGCAAATGCCACAATCGGCTGAGTTCAAACATGAAGAATTGGGCAAGTGCTTAACATGGCGGTCTGTGGCAACGATTGCATGATGGATGGCACTGTCCTTAACGTGGACCTATCTTAGGTAGTTGAATTTAGCTGGCATGCTTTGAGCCCGATGGAACAAGCAGGCTTTAAGGGGAGGTGGCACACCATAAATGCTGCCTTTATTCCCAGTGTGACGACCGCTCTGACCCAGCAAAGCAAGCACTGTAACAAGAGGCAAGCCAGGCCCTCAGCGCTTAAACAGAAGTCGTGCGGGCACACCCTCTTCCTCACCAACAGGGGCACGTCTGCCAGGTATTCTGGTAAGCCCGTCCTCGAGCGGGAGCGTTGAAAGGATCGCCTGCGCAGCGAACGGTTTCCCCCTATCCGCCAGCACCCAATCGTCAGTATGGCAGTGCAAAGACAGATACATGATATTCTACTTCCACCGTCCAACAGCAAACATACACTGCTAAATCTTTATTACAACCCAACCAGATATTCACGAAATTTCTTTGGTATCTGTATTTGTGAGTGTAGACGATCATGTCGAAAATCGGGGCTTAGTTAAAGTAATGGAGAACTGACAATCCTTCGACTCCCACCCTTCTGGTGAAAAAGAGCCAAATGTCATGGATTCTTCAACACAGTTCAAAATCTCGAGGGTGAAGGGGTGTCTTCCAGCCAGCGCACCAGGACCGCAGTTTCAGAACTTGCATCGCCACTTTTCAGGCCGTTACACTCATCCTAACGAAGTAAGAGTCTTCAAGACAGGCTCCCAAGGGCTTTATCATCGATCGTTGTCTCATCATCGAATTAAAAAACACCTTTTGGCCGATGCAGAACAAAGCTGAGGGGATTTTCCTTTTTGGTTTCAAGGTGGCCATGGGGTTTCAGCACCTGTCTTGCTGACTATGATATCTGTTTGGACATTTGCCTTCATCTATGTAAAGATAGAGCCATTCTGAGGGAACAAGTGTTGTGGGACAGAGGAAGCATATTACTTTCCTCCCACAAGATATCGTCCAGGGCAATCTATATGCAGTGTCTCTGACTGGCACAATATAATACAACTGGCAGTGTAAATTGCCAAAAACAAGTATCGCTACACTGAACAGCAGACTTGCACCAATGAACTGATCAACAGTGCTACTAAAGGCGCCAGTTGGTCTATTGATAGTACTGAGGACGATACTGGCCCTGGGCTTCATTTTGTTTAGGAAAGACACTGTGGGCAACTAAACCTGGCACTATCCCTGTATCAATTACCAACCATAGGAGACCACCAAAATGTCCAAACTTGCTGCATGTATTGGAAAAAGAACCCGATTCACACAGGCAAGACGTGATAACCTCAAGAACTCTGTGAGTTTTCTAAAGCACATGCCACACTAAGTTGGGGATACATGGATACAGGCATGAGAATCTGCAACAATGGCCCGCAAGAAATCCTTCAGTCTGCAAAAGCAATGCGTAAAGCAGGCAGCCACCCCATGCAGGGCAATCCAGCTGGGCTGTGTTTAACATATGGCATGGAGCTGAATGAATGACCCCATACAAAAATATACCAAAATGTAGCCATGCAGAGGCACATTTTGATTGCATTGATGGAGTGATTTTCTTGTACTTGCAGGGCAATGGGGGGCACTGCTCACATCCTTGCATGTCTATTCCCAGGGTGTGCAAAAAATGCCTGACTTGCCAAAATAGACCATGAAGGTGACAGGTGACAAAAGTGCATACACTTCTCAAAAATTCTGAAACAGAACGGCCTTTTCATCTTCCAGGCCATTACGGGCATTCTGCAACCCCACAATTGCATACCGATTGCTACCTCCACAGGCTTAGTCTCACAACCAAGGCAAACTGTGACAGCAACATTGGTGTGGCACTCATTTCCACAAGATAATCTTTGGGGCTGTACATCGCCTCGTGCATTCTGATGAGTATGCGTCAAATCTCTTCCTCCGAGATCTTGATGGGGGCAGCATCCAAACTCTTAAATGCGATGCAAGATTTCGGAACAGGAAAAGGAAAAGCACAACCAGTTCGGCAACCCAGCAGCAACAAAAATGATCAGTCTACCTCTTAGGCTGTCATGCAGCCGAACGTGGTAGATCGGCTGGTCCTCCAGTTTCTTGTCGAAGTACACAAGCTGTCTGTCCCTCTGGGGTGGCCTGAACTCCAAATTTTTGTCCTTGGAGCTCTTGAAAAAGGACTTGAAGAAACCACCCTCGCTACGGCCACCCTTCCCCAAGCCCTCCATCATGCCTGACCACCGCTTGTCAGGAGCAGCGTCGTCGCTAACTGCGGGGATCTTGAAGACCTCCACATTTGTAAGAGACCGACCCACTGGGGCTGCAGCACCAGCACAACATAAAAATTATGTTAAAAATTTGCGTTGCCATTTTGCAACCTGCATGTTGTTATGCAGGAAGTATACAGTGAATGCACAAGGCAAAAGATTGCCCTTGGATGTTTAAGACACCAGTGGGGTGCATGATCAGCGGCATCACTACAGTCAATGGGAACCTGGTGCCACAATCAGCTGGAAGCCTTCTGAGCGGAATATCCAATAGCATGACAAGCACACATTGCAAATTCATGCGTGCTGTACACTGAATGCAGGCAATAACAGCTGTCTGCACATGCTGTCACTGTTCCAGTGGGCATCTCACAGGTGAGCAGCACAAGCCACAAAGCTGTTCTCCAAAAATTTTAATATCTGCAAAGGCACAAACGTTCGGACAACTATACATGGCAATAGCAACATCCATTGTGCTGAGCAAGCCAGTCCAGTAGCAGGAACACAAATCCCAGAAAAGAAAGAAGATAAAATGAATGGAAAGTAAACAAGTGTGTGCATCAAACTCTTGTGACAAAGGATATCCAGTCTTCAGCAAACGCACAAAATATATATCTGTCTCTTCATGGCCGACATGTCGCCAGGTCCAGAGCACAGGCTCAACGGAGGGACATCAGCTATATCGCCCTACACTTGTCTGATGAATTCATCACAGATCAACACTGGCCCGATTAGTGCTCACTGCTCCCTGATGTAGGCAAACAGCCATTTATTTGCCATGCACATGTGTCCTTTTCATGCCATTCTATTGTCATGTTATTTCCCGTGACCAAATGTATTCAACATGGATTTCACAGGACCAATCTCAGTACAGCAACAGACATACTCACAGTGATTGGTTGCTCGTGAACCAACAGATGCGCTGGACTGGCTCCTGCTCGGCAGCATGCCCTTCATCCCTGGCAAAGTCCCAGGCAAGGCTACCCCATCCATGCCTGAATTGCACAGGTCACAATGCAACTACCTGTCAAACAAGACACCAGCTGGCACCTGCTCCTCTACATGCAGCGTACAATGTTAAAATCAAACAGCAGAGGGTCAACAGGCGATCAGCTTTCCCATGCATTGTTGCACTTGATAAGGACGCGGATGAGGACTGACACACGAGGCCAAGCAAATTAACCCTCAACACCGGTACATTTTGAGCAAAGAAAACCCCCAAAGGCAGGAAAAGAGTGTCATCAGCATATGGCTTGGGGGTTTAATCGTGTCTGTAAGCCACCTGTCCACAAACCCACCATGCAAGTAGTGGTCAGTCTCCAGCTCCCACAATGCAAGCTTGTCAGGGTGAGGCTGGAAGTTGCCAAGAAATAGGTTGATGGCTTGCTGCTTCTGTTTCGCATCATCTGTGACTGCATTGTTGTAGAAACGTCTGCACACATACACTGGTGGCATGAGTCCCAACTGCTCAGAATGAATGTTCCAAATACATGGTTGTCACAAATTCATATCAAGGGACAACTGAAGACAACCTCCATGCACAAACCTGCTCCGTCCGGCCAGTTGAGCGCTTCATCATGCATGGCTACAGCTGACAACTAGCTGCCAAAACAGAACTGTACTTTGCAATCAAAACATCAGCAAACCTCTGTGGACATCTGTCAAAGCTCTGTTGACAAACTCAACCCAAGCGACTATCTGCAACAACTACCTTTCGAGGCATGGGTGAGAGCTGTGCACAGAATGCTCAAAATGGGGGGATAGCGCAAGACCTGTTTGGAACAATCGCCACCTACATCGATGCCCCGCTCATCTGCATCAGCTAAATGTACACATGTATGCATGCATCTTACAGGTTTTGTCCTCTGCCCTCTTACGTCTCCCTGATACGCCCGCAGGTAACATGTTCTGCCCAATGCCTTCAAATGTCATCAATCACTCACTTTATGGTCGTCACCGCCTCCTTCGTTTGGGCTCCCACCTCAGATGCGCCCCTCATCCGGTGGAAAAACGTCCCGTGGGCCTCCGATCCCCCGTACTGCAGTGCTATCCTGTCCCCCATTTTCTCATACATCTCCATCACGTGGTACGCCAGGCTGCAGTCAGTCTCCAGCTCTATGGCCTCTGACAGCATGCCCAGTGCCCTTAGCTGGTGCTGCAGCGCCACCATGCCACAAGCGTACTGGCACACGTTCGTGCGGTCCAGACAGTCAATGCAGTTGGAGCGGACGATGCCCCGCTGAAACCGGGCTTTGGTCTTGTGCAGGCAATCCTCGGAGTCACTGCACGAGGCTGTGGGCACCACACACATGCCTGTGGAGTCCAGGCACCTGTGTGTCTGCACACACCGAAACAGGGAGCCCAAATGGTCATCATCCACGTGAAGATGCTAGAAACGTTGGCTGGGACTGGACAGAGGGCAACAGGTGGTCCCTTAGTGGTGCAGACATTGCAGGCTCCCAATTGTTTGCCGGGGAGGCAATTTGTCATTGTGCGGCTTGTGTGGTCAAAAGTCAACACCCCAGCAGAGTAAACTGGGGCAGAGGCAACACTGCTGGCTGACAGGCATCCCTATGAACAGTTTGTTCAGAATACTAAAACCTCATGAACAAATGCCAGTGCCCATATTACGGGGGAACTACAACAGGCAGGCAACTGGCTGCCATGCCCCCAATTCCCTGGCATTGGGCTGTCCTGCAAACTCGCTCCGATTGTGCCCAGGTCGAACACAGACAATTCAGAAGGTTGGAACTGTGCAAACAGCAATGAACACCCAATATTGGGTGCTCATCTCTGACGACCCAAGCTACTGGCCAGCTTAGCACATCACAAAATAATTATCTGCCAAATCCCAATACTAATGATCAGCAAACCGCACAATTCATCATCCCCCAGAGTTGTTGCACGTCTTCTCCTGCAATTTTTACAAAGTTTGTAATCTTGGCCGTGGTACGCACCACTGGTTCCAAGTCCTTCAAGAATGACCTTCCGTCCTTTTTCATGCGTTCTTTGAAGTCCCACGCTATGTGGACAATCCGGTCCTCTTCCGCGGGGATCTGGGAGTTCAGGTATTCGAGGGCGGTGGCAAGTTCAGATCTAAGGATCGTTTCCCTTTTCTCTTTCTGCTTTTCCTGTGCCTTCACCAGATTGAGCACAACAATGGGCGAAGAGTACCTCTCACGTAGATCCTGGAACAGCAAAGCCAGGTCCACGTCTGACAGGGGGCACCAAGCACTGCACCCAACACATGCCTTGGTTGGCAGGAAAGCCAGTGGCTGTGTGCAGCAGACTGGCAATCCTCGATTGGCACTACCTTGTTCCCGCAAGGGTGCAAGCGCAGTGTGAGTTTGCCACATATGATAATTGTAGTCAGCAAGGCACTTGACAGGATATTCATAACAGTTTACTGTTAATCTATTCGTGAGCTTAATATCTTTGTTACATTTTCCCAAACCTTTGTTGCATGCTCTTCCTGTTGAATTCAGATTTCTATGCCATCCTCTACAGTATGCAAATAAGCCCAGCATCAACTACGTTTCTCAGGATGCAGGCGCCCAGTACACAACATGCCTTCCTCACTGGTAGGAAGAGATTCACACCTTTGCACCTTTGCACCATTCTTTGTACCTCTGTCACCGATCGGACAGGCACTATTTGGGCATCCTTCCTTGAGGGTGTGGCTTTCAGCAGCTGCCATGCAGGCTAGTCAATCACTGGGCACACACCTGGAAATGCAGTGCTGTCGCAGTGTACAGAGGATCGTTGTTGGACAGCACGATGGTGGGCCGGGGATGCAGTGGCGAAGAGTCTTGACTCCAAAACAAAGGGATGGAACCCCTCAACTGGCAGCACAGATATACATTGTAAGGATGGTACCCTAAATCACGGCAACAAGTGGCTAATTTCAGATGGTCCGGTGTGATTTGTCCAAAATGAGAATAGCACACATAGCATCTGCACAGGAGCTTCTGAGAGAGGTACCGTACCTGTGCAGAAGGTTCACTGCATCACTCGGTCTGCTGTACACTATTCAGGGTTTATCGTACTGCACCAGTACACCCTGTGAACCGATTAACAACAGAAACAAATGCAAAAACTGCTACAAACGTGGATGTTGAGTCACACCTGAACTACTGACGATAGCGATGGCGAGCAGCTACTGGAGTCGATGCCCAAAGAAACGATTTGTTCCTGGGGCAAACAAGTTAACGCCACTTCAGTTAACTCAGTCTGCTTTGTCATACATGCAAGCCATGGACAAAAATTGCGCAACATGCACTCAAAAACAATGTTAGAAGTGCACCCAACTCCTGTTGGTCCATGCTCAATGAAATCTGCGCGATTCGCAGCTGGGGGTGCATCACAAACTGACAGGAACACTGCTGCTCGGAAATCTATCGAATGCTATTACCAATAGACACATGACCTCACCGTTTCGACCTCGTTTGCCACCCAGCCTTTGTTGTTGATTCCTCGCTTAAGATACCGAGTGCCAGCAAAGTGCCGAGAGCGGCGGGCTACCAAGGTCACAGTGATGACCCGCCCAAAAACTGGTTGGAAGACAGCAAATGCTTGTGAGCATGGGTCGATTCACATTTTGTCCCATCAAACAGCCTGAGCTTGTGCAATCATCAGCTCCAGGTACCTGGCCCTCGTCATGTGACAGAATACCTGCCATCGTTTTGGAAGCGCATGGCCAGCAATGGCCATGTTCAGGCCAATGCAATCACAACAAACTTACTACCATCAAAATGAAAATGTGTCAAATATACTAACACATACACAGTGCCATTCAACGAGTTCCTGGGTGACTTTTGACTTGACAGCTTTTCCATAATATCGATACACAGAAGGTTGCCCAAACTGCAAAGTGTGTCACGTCTTGTTTTTATTAAACCCATTCTAGCACAAGACAAAGTCGAAGAACTTCATCAAGTGTATGCAAGACTGTCAGAATGGTGAAGAAGCACGACACAGAAGCAAGAATTTGACGATGACCATCCTGTTACATTTCAGTCGCAACACGAGAAGCAGCTTCATGGCCACCCCGTAAGCAGAAAACAGCAATTAGTGAATGTTTGTATCAGGTTGGACGTGGAATGGAGATCGGCAACCGGCCACAAGCAGCCTTATGGACAATTCCGAGGATCAAACAGTGCTTACCACCAAGCTGACTGTGCAAGGGCTGATCTTGTCAATTCTGGTGACTACACAGAAGAACAATTTCACAAGCTCAGTAACCCTATGTCCATCAATTGAAGGAGCCTAGGCTTGTTGTGTATAAAAGTAGTCAAAGAGTTTGTCAAACAGAACATTAAGCTACAATACCCACCAGACATGCACCGCTGCTCCCAGAAGCCATGCACCAAAGGTACCACCCAATTAGTTGTGAACAGGGCAAGGCGAAGATCCCTGAAACAGGCAGTTGTGACCAGTTGTTAGCCAGGCACAGACGACCCGCTGTCCTCAGCAAACAGCCCTTGCATTTTCCAACACAGGCAGCGCTCTATTAGAAAACACAAAACCCACAGCTTCTGTGTCGGTGCAAGTGCTATCAACTTTCTGCAAATTGTCACACTCATTCACAGTGCAACTGTCCATGGCCTCCACCAGGTGTCAAGCTGACAGAAGGATGGCCATTGCTGTGCACCCATCAAATTTTTCCTTTCCCATTCCCCACTATGCTCAACGATTTCTTGAGCCCCTTTCAATGCAATTCTGTGGGTTGAAGAAAATCTGTTGTACATTTCAATGGACAAGTATACCTCCCACAATTATTCAGCTGACAGTTCAGCCCACAAGCACCTCCTTCACTGTCCAAAAAACCCTCATCGCTCAAAGGCTTTGTCTACGCCAAATTGCAAGCTGGACACCAGCAACTCAACACCTCTTTTGTAGAGTACAGAAGAGTCTGCCAAGAATTTTCATAAAGGGGCAAGCCTTCCTATCCGCTATATTTGATCACTGCATCCCACCTTGATAGGTACCCATTCCAAACGAACATGTCTTCAAAGGGGTCCCCAATGTCAGGTTCCATCAGATTCTTCTGCACTGTGCTGCACACATTGTATGTGTAGCTGAAGAAGAAGTCCTTTGTGAGGTCGACACCATTCTGCAAAATCTTGCGGTACCGCTTCTCAGCGGCGCAGTCCACTGGGTTCTCAATCGGCACAAGCGCTGTCTCTGCCACCCCATACACCTGGTGACCTGCAGTGCACCCAACATGCTGATGCCACAGCGCTTACTGTTCAGGTGCAAAACCGAATTCACATTGTCCACACTGTTTGTTTGTTCCACAACACGCAGAAAACAACTGTTGATTCGGCCCCCACAGCAGGGGCAGAATGGGTGGTGCTGTTCCCACAAACAGAGAAGCATACCTCTTTCCATTGGTCTGCACCAAAATTTGTTGTCTGTGATTTTGCCAAGACATGGATGGCTATGAGCACCTGGGGGGGACTGTGTTTACATGCATGCCCTCGCCATGCCACGTACATGCCCAATACTTGGCCAGCTGTCATTTACACATGGTCCAGCAGCCTGGCAGAACTCGCGATGCCACATTGGAGACGATGCTACCGTCGAATGCCATAGATAGCATAGTTTTAGGCACCACATCTTGACAATGCTGCAGTTGAATGCCACAGAGCAAGAACAAAGCAACAGCTTTGTGGCGGTAACTTCTGAATCTGCATCTTGGCTGGACCTATCAATTTGCGACCTTTCCCAGGTGGCACTGTCTGAAGTCACTTGCCAGCTGCCCAACATTCATTCATCCATCACGATGACACTGTCATCTGATAATTGAACTCTCTTTCACGCTGCCAACATCCTATCACATATTGAATTAATGAGGCTCTATTGAGAATTACCATTCTGGCATGCTGGGCTTGCAACTTGTCAGCTGAACAAGGGAGGATCACATATGGCAGCTGGTGTTGAAGACCCCAAGACAGGGTGCGAGCCTCACCACAGAGACTCCCCAGTGGCTGTCTCTTGGTGATCAGCAGCAAGTAGTGGCCCTCAAGGAAACGGAAGCATCCCAAGAGACCGTAGGCCTGCACACACCAGATGGCCCCAGTCAAGGCAACTTCCGGACACAGAAAACAATGACATGTGCAACTGCCAGCAGCGGCTACTGGTATGGCAGTTGACAGAGGACCTTTATCTGCCATCTGGTTAGTTGAAACAATATTACTTGCACGCTTGCTTAGAATTATGAGATCCTGGTAGGACAGTAGAAATGCTAATACCATCTGATGATCTGCAGCTAATGGAGACATGTGCCACTATTTTCATGCTGCTCCACTGGATGCATTCATTGAATGCCTGCATCAATGCAGCACCTTGCACCATTATGTGCCCACGCAAAAAAAAACGTCATAAATCTGCTTTCTCACTGCAGAGTGGTGCAGCCCAAGACTTCTACACCATTCATGACATGAAAGGTGTCTCACAAACAGATTGCCTCAGAGGGGGCTGCCTGTTGACAGATGCGTGTTGTTTCTCTTCGAAAGGAAAGCCATGGAGGAGTGTGCCGACTGCATGGCAAGACTCCTGCCAACAAAGGCAATATCGTTCCCATAATAAGGTTCGTTGTCACATTGAAGAACCATTTCGTACATTGGGCACAGCAGAACAAATGTGTGTGAAACCCGTATTCCGTGCTCTGAAAAGATAGTGCAGACTCCCCAAAACTCGCCTCGGGGAGTCCATAAGGGATGGCCATCTCCCATGCTGCATTGCAATCTCAATCCAAGCGCTGCCTATTTTCCGTTTCAAATCCACTCATCTAGGGAAATGAACGATCGATATGCAGCAAATCCCCGAAAAGAATCACGCCCCAAGTCGCGCAAAACCGTAAACAGAGCCACCCATCCTCCTCTCCTCTCTACACAATATTACGACAAAGTATCAGACTCTGATCACCTTAATCGTCCTGAATAAGATCCCGCTATTGTTGCGGAGAGTTTCCTCTGTACGACCCTTTTCTTCTCTTTTCTGCACATCCTTGCCCCTCCCTCGTCCTCTCTTGTTGTGTCATATCTTTGCACCTACATCCACATCGCCATTGCACGGGTAATATCTAGGACATTAATTTCATGGGCTGTCTTGTATACTCTCCTCTCTCTGCACCAAATCCTTCTCTTTGCAAAGAAAACCCCCTCCCCCCTCACCTCGCACAAGATCTGCAACCCGCCATCGGCGAAGGCCAGCTTGTGCAGCTGCTGCAGGTGGGCGCGCGCCTCCTCGGGCGTGTACGTCTTGGGATCTTCCGAGGGCGGCTCCGCCGTGAAGGGCTGCACCCGGCTGAAGGACAGCAGCCGGCAGCTGGCCTCGTCACCGCTGTAGCCCAGCAGGTAGTACCGCGACTTGGCCTGGTACAGCACCAGGCGCTGAAGCAGAGGCGGGGAGATCGGCCTCAGGATGGTGGTGGGCTCGTGGCGCGGGCCGCGGGGCATGGCCCCGACCCGCGCGGGGGGCCGCGCGTGCAGGGGGGGCCGCTGCGACGGCCGGGCGCACCCCCAAGGTGGGGGGGGGGGAGGAGGGGGGCCGTGGCCTTGTACTTTGTGGGTTTGTGGTCTTGGTCTTGGGGCGCTCTGGACGGGCGAGGTGGGTGGGTGAGATTTGTCAGAGGGGGGAGAGGGGTCGTACTAAGGGCTCCCCCTCCTTGCAGGTGTGAAATGAGATGATGCAGGGTCCCGGGTGGGTGGGGGTGTCAAGGTGTGTTAAAACACAGGTCACAACAGGGGGCCACTCCCTCCTAAGCAAGCATTCTGCACGAGGGCGTTGCCGTATGCCCTGGTATCCTCTTTCTTTACAGAAAATTTTGATAATTCTGACAAGTCTCGGGGCACGGGAGTTGGCTGTTGTTGTTGTTGTTGCTACTGTGGATCCAACAGCCTGTAATGCCATGTCGCCGGCACACGCAAAGGCAGCTCATAAAGCCCATGCTCGAACGTGAAAGCCCATCGCGATGCTACTGTTTCCTCGGAACAGGAGTGGGGTGTTAATAACCTCCCATGGATGCGCGAAACATGCGCAATAGATGGTTGATTGGAGCATCTAGAGGATTCTGTGACGCCAGCGGTGTGCCACATGACAATGCGTTAGGTTGCATTTGCCAACACATGGCCCATAAGCGCCATCGCTCTGTTGAGGCGATGGTGGTGCGCCACGAGCGCGTGCTGCCCAACCAGGTGTGTAGGTGGGGAGGGCAATCCCTGATCAGCCACTCTAGAGTGGCAGATCTACCGACCCAGCCTAGAGCGGATCTCTCGGGGACAAGAGGATGAAATGGCCATTCATTCAATCAACGGGCTATCTTGGCCCATGTAATTCGTTGTAACTTTTTTGCCACTTTGTTGTTGAATGCAGTACCGTACTGCAATTGTACTGCATTTGTTGTTCGTAACGAATACAAATGATCAATTCTTGTGGAATGAAAGCGCGCACCGTTTCTGCTGGCAAGTTGCTACCAGGTGGCTTGCTTCATAGCTTTGGAGCGATGAGTTATGCAGTCTCCAGTACATTGCACGTGATGCACATTGGCCTTGGCTGTCAATTGCTTCCTGAGGCAGTCAAGCTGGGATGCTTAAGACCACAGAACTGACAAAGCTCGCAGTTTGGACCTTTTCGGAACGAGCGAAATGCTAGAAAACAATACTGTGTCCCAGAATTAATAACAATTTCCATCGTTTCAAAATATCTTAAAACCTTCTTCCACGAATCGGCATGGTCAAAATACTCATCGGCACAGCGCAGCAGGCAAAAGCTTTATACATGCAGCGGCGATTCACTCAATCAGCTGCCGCTGGTCTGCATGGGAGTTCAGAAACTGAAAACATGGCTCAACTAGGCACGAAAAGGGTTCACCATTGGGTTGTGATTCAGGGGCGAGATTGGCCAACCCACGCAAGTCAACACGACCTGATGGTGATTCTGCACTTGTAGATTCGTTTGAATTTGAAAATGTGACAGCGCGCTGGTGGGGATCGACGGGCATTGAAGTCGAATGACGTTTATTTATGGAAGGCAGTCACGGCGAGAGTTGGTTTCTACGCAATCCGTCCATCGTGCCATCACATGTGATGGCTCGATGCGCCGCACTGTCCATTCACCAAGCATTTTTACGGCTATGCGACACACCCAGGTTACATGGTGATGTCCCAAACAACGACCAGTCCTCCTCACTATCGAGTCCCCGCAAGTTGCTGAGCACTTCGTCCTCGGCCGGGGCAACAACTTGGCAGAATAGCAGGTCGTTTCTGCCCACCAGCGTGTCTTGCAGCCACTCCCCGCACTCCCTGATTCTGTATGTACTTTATTTATGTACACAGGGCCCTGTTTTATGCCTACTTAAGCGTAAAAAAGCAAAACCAATGTTATGCCTAAATGCGCACAAATATGCTATTATTTACGCCACAAAGAACAAGACTGCTCTTGTCAAGTACATTTATCAAAAATTGCTCTACCCACAAGTCGCCGTAGCACCTAAACTGGTGTTAGGGCGAAAAAAGTAGCTTAAATGGACGGGTGCTGATGAGAGTCTGTGCCTCGGTTCCAACCTAACCGCCTTGTCAATGATTCCTTGGTCACGAGCTCGAATCCCTCTTCCAAGGCTTGTTACTTACGTTTGTGCATACTTTTTGGCGTGAAAACTTTTACGCGCTAAAACGTATGTTTTCCAAAGGGGCTATTTTTGATGTTGTATTTACGTTTTTGAAGTTCGTTGTGACCCCCATGTTACACGAATCGTGTAACACTATGAAAAGTCGCTTACAATGATCCACCAACACAGCGTCCATCTCGCCCTCGGCAAAGGCAACGACAACGTGGAACAGAAGCTTGTTTCTTCCTGTTCCAGCGCTTATCATCGGGATTCCTAAGTCTGTTTGTACTGTCCTTATGCACATAAGGCTGAATTTACGTTGCATCTACGTATTCTTATTCGTTTTACGCATAAAAACGCAATAATGTATTTTACGAGTAAAACTATTTTTAAGAGTGAAAACTTTATTATGAAGAAAAAAATCACGAGTAAAAACTACTTTTGCCAGTAAAACTATTTTAGGAGTAAAAGATATTTTTATGCGTCAAAACGTGAATTCGATCAGTTTCCACGGCGTATAAACAAGCCAGCCTCCTCATACTCCTATTTACCGTTGACGTGACGGGTGCTTATTAAGCACTGCTTAGCACTGAAGGAATTTCTCCACTAAATGAATGTAGTCAATGAGCTCACGCACAACGCAATCACGGGAAGTGACCATGTAGATGTGCAGGTGAAGTGCAAGGGCGCCACTGAAGCACATAATGCATGTGGCCCACACCACCGGCACAGAACTTTCGGCCTTTCAGCACGCTTTCCTCCTAAAGCAGATGTGCAATATGAAAATAAATGAACCAAAGCAGCTGATTGAATATGAAGTTTCCCTGATTCATTTTATGATGTCGGCAACGGCTGTGGGTGCACCGAGGCCACAACGTTGCACAAGTAGACAGCTTGGGATTCCATACATCCAGCACTAGTAGAAAACAGCATGCTTGCGATACCATTTTGACACAAATTGATGCCATCACAGCCACTTTGTATGCCATCACTATCACTGTGATGGCATCATTTTGTGTCAAAATGGCATCGCAGTTGGCATCGCAAACATGCCGTTTTCTGCCAGTGCAGGGTTTCTTCCTGCACAATTGTTGAATATCCTTTGCATCTAAAGCTGCAGCAGTAAGCGACGCCTGATGCAGCAGCTTGCAAGATGTGGTGGAGCTAGGAGATTGCATCATGCGCTTTGTAGGTTGAGTTGGTTGCGCATGCAAAAGCGCATTTCATTGTGAGCTCGGCAGTAGCCACACACCAGTTCGAGTTGATTGTATTGTATCTTGTTGGCTTCCTTATTACAATTGCATGTCGATACTTGTTTTAGCATCTTGGCTGTCTGTGAACTCAACATATTGAGCTAACATGCTATCAACAGATTGCAAATAGCGCTAGTGCCAGTTTCATGTAGAGGATTTTAAGCCTTCTGTGGCTAGTTGGATACTAGACCAATGTAATAGCAATTTAAAAGCAAAAATTCAAATGCTAGATTTATAATTCTTTCTTTGCACCTACGGTGACCAAGAAAGGATCAAAATTCTCATGACGCATCGCCAGAGAAGCGCGAGCTTTTGAGATGAGTGTCCCTTTTTCCGATAGCCGTTTAATTTTTTTGTCCATATTACATGACTGCGGTCCGACATACCATTTTTGCTCCTTAATAATTCCATGGTGGATCTGTCAAGGTGCTAAAGCAGTTCAAATGCAGTGACTCTTGAATCAGCTAATGAGAGCAGATTCACATGTCAAGGCGAAGAAGCAGCCATCAGATCTCTATCTAGCTCGAGACAAAGCAGCCCCTGGGGCCACTTCAACGGAAAGCAAACATACTGATGCAAATGCAAGTGATTGCTTCACCAGATCGCGGCGAAAAACAAGCGGACAGCTTCATCTTCTAACGCAAACCTCCCCTTCCAAACTTCCACCCCCGCCTTCAGGAAGACCGCGCGGGACGTGGACGTGTCAGCGCCCACCCGCGCGGTCACGTCCTTCCCCTGCTCCTCGTAATGTACTGCCTTCCTCTCCGTCCACGCTCTTGCTGACAGCGCCTGAATCAGGCCGGGCCGGGCCCCCACCCCCCGGCTGCCCCAACCCCAGGGAGAAAGTGCCGCGCCCTCCGGCCAGACAGCAGTCAGCCGAAACTCGGCAATCCCTGGCGTCAGCGAACGCCCCGCTGTGGATTCCCGACCACTGTGGAGCCCGCAGGATCCAGACCCACGTGATCCTTTCTCTTTCGACGTACCGGTCACGTGACAGGGGGCAGGGTGCGGATGGTGGACGTGGGGGATCAGGGGCCCCGCGTGGCGAGCGCCGCGGCCGGCCTGCCGGCCCATGGGACAGAGCGGGCGCCGGCGGGGCAGGAACTGGCCGGGGACGCCACCGAGACCTTAAGGAACAGGCTGTACCTGTCGGCGGGGCCGCGCCCGGGGGGGCTCACCTTGAGGCCCAGCGCTCGCGGGGCTGGCACCGGCCGCTTCAAGACCCGCACGGTGAGCCCCGAGGACCCCGGCCAATAACCCTCCTCGCCCTTGCTCGCTGTTCGCGCCCTCCTCTGCCCTTCCCGTCGCCCTGCCGGAAGCTCGTTTTGGAAACATCCCCCTCGGGCAACATCGGCCTTTTGGGTCAAGCTTCTTGCCTGAGGTTGACGACTTCCGTTAGTTGTGGAGGGCCAGCTCACCCGCGTTCGTCGCCTGCTGTCGCCAGGGCCTGACGCGCAGGACGCTGCCGCCCGTGGCGGCCTCCATCCACAGCGGCGCCGAACAGGCGCAGGCGGCGCGGGATGAAGTGGCGCAAGAGGTGGGTGGATTGCGAGGGAGGCTTGAGGACGCAAATCAACCGGCGAGGGCACGTGCAGCG